GACAACAGAATTTACTGATAGTAGTTAGAAGCAAGTTTTTTTCACTTGAAGCAAACTGTATTCAGTCAATTTGAACGTGGGTCTTCTGTCTGGTGTTTTGCCTTCAGGATTAATAGCGCCAGCAAGTTTGCTTTGAGGTTTCTTTCCTTCAAGGCTTTTACAACAATAATCCTTGCATTTGATATAGCACTTTTCACGTTTTCTAGATGTCTCAAAGTGCTTCACAGAATGTACTGTAAAGTGAATTGACTGAGTATATTTGTGGGAGAAACACGGCAGCCATTGCGCGTAGCAGTGTCCCACAAAGAGTCATGAATTGAATGACCAAATTATTGTTTTTTTTGAAGGATTATTATCCCTCAAAACAAGCGATCTGCTAATCGACTAACAATCGGGTTACTACTTACTGCTGGGTAAACAGAGGTGTGTGGAGTAAGGAAACTTGCCCAATATTTCACCCTGGCAGGAATCGAACCCAGGTCTCTTGCTTGCCAGGCGAGTGCTCTAACCACTAAACTACTGGACTCCACAATGATAGTTAATGGCTGTACGTGTTGAGTGGCATTATAATGATAAACAAACAGGGCACTTACTGTTTTATTGTTGCAACACAAAACTGCTTATGATTGAGAAGAGTTTTCTTCTGTGGAGAATATTGAAAATGTTTGAAAAAAAGGCATTGCTGTCAAGGAGAGTGACCCAAGTATTTGAAGTGAAGTGTGGTGGCAAATTATAATAATAATAATCCTTGCATTTGATATAGCGCCTTATCACACCTTAGAGATTTCTCAAACCGCTTCATAGAATATACTGTGAAGTGGATTGACTGTATTTTGTTGGCATTTGTACACATTCATACACATCAAATCCCCCAAAACGCTTATAAAGTGAATGCAACAATAATAAACGAGATTTACACAACACCTTTCACGTCGGGAGGGCGTCCCAAGGAACTGGACATTCAGGGATTTTGGACCTGAGCAAGTGGTTGGGATCAGGAGGGGTGGAGGGCAGGCAGGGTGGGGGTAGGAGGATTATAGAATGTAATTATTGAATAGCGTTGCAGAATCTTTCATGTCCTCCTGAACAAATGCAAAACGGAACCTCAAGTTAATGTGTCATCCGGAGATTTTGACGAAATAGCACCAGACCATGAACCCGAAGTCCTCTGCACAGCTTGATGTTCGCAGTGAACATCTCGCTAAGTTGATATTAGCTGTGAGCAGCTCTATTTAGACTGATAAATACAGTGTGCGTCTTTATGGAGCCTGATATCAGCAGTGAACACCTCTTATAGATTCACATTAACGCTAGACAGCTTGATATAGATAGTGGCTTGGCCTGTTGTTTGGAACATTTCTCTAGTAGTGTTCTCTAGAGGTGTACCTGTTAATTGCTGTTCTTATTCTTTGTTTTTAATAAACTAAAATAATCTCTGGGACTTGTGCCAATTTTAATGATGCAGTGGAAATAATGAGCTGGTCCACTTATAATGCAGAAAGTCTTTTTTCATGTATGTATATTAATAAAACTTATTGTTGCAATGGTTTGAGAAGAAATAAATCTGTTTGCCGACAGCGTTACACAAGGAAAATCAAGTAGTCAAATGTTTTCTCGCACAGGAAATTGCTTGTAGCAAGAGAAACCGAGGCCAACGGCGCACGGATCAGTACGACCACTAGATCTTTCACTGAATCAAACATAAACTTGTTTCCCTTCTTAGAAATGAATTCCAAACTCCCAGCATGTAGTTCCCATTTTCCTCAATTTAAATGCGACTCTGGTTCAGTGATTAAACACTTGGCTCGCACTCTGCAGTTGGACCTTGCAGTCCATTTATCCCGGTGGTTGGAGCGCCCCCTGCTGACTGACCCAAGCCAGCACTCTTTATACAAAGGACGATGCCCACAATGCCGCAACCTCCATTACAGCAGCAAAAAAGATTGTGAGAGTCTTAGTCTAAACGTCTCAAAGAGCTTCTCACACAGAGGTTATTATGGAATTCAGCTCTGGTTATTTTAGCAATTGTGGTAGCCAATCTGCACAAGCCGGATCCCACAGATAGGAATCAGATATACTATGTCCGTGTTTCACTGATCTTGAATAACAGAGGAATGTTGCCCCTGGACGCTGAGAATTCCCTGTTCTTCAAAATATTGTTTGTGGGACCCTGCTGGGCACAATTGGCTGCCGTGTTTCGCCCACAAAATACAGAGTCAATTCACTTTGTGAAGCGCTATGAGACATCTCAACGACGTGATAAGACCCTGTATCAAATGCAAAGATTATTGTTAGTATTATGATTATTGCTAAGGAATATATAATGTCCATCTGAACCTCCAGAACAGTCAAATGTGACCTCAGTTTTAGTGTCTCATCCAAAGGATGGCACCTCCAGCTTTTCAACTTGATGTTAACTAAGCATTCATGTCAAGTCTTTGCCATTTCTTTGTGTTTAGCTCGCTTGCTCGCTCACTGAAGAGCCAGGTGCGGGCCGCTGAACGCACCTGCCTCAAATCTGGCCTAACGGTCCACCGACAAATCTGGCTGGACCTCCTCAAAATCTACCGCTCCACTCTAGCCTCGTCCAAGTCGTCCTTCTACTCCAGGATAATCCTGGAGGCGAAGAACAACCCCAGGCTTCTGTTTTCTTCCATATCCGACTCCGCCGTCCCCCCCGCCACCCCGCGCAGGTCATCTCCTCCAACCTTCACTGCGAGGAGATGCTGGATTTCCTTGAATCCAAAATCAAGGGAATCCGTTCCGCGGTCACTCCCCCTCCAACTTCCACCCACCCCCCACCCCTTCCCTCCCACACTCCGACTCCTACCCATCCTCCCCTACACACCTTCAAACCCGTTTCCCCACCCTCTGTCACCAAACTCATCCTGTCCCTGAAACCCACCACCTGCTCCCTTGACCCCATCCCCACTCCACTCCTTATCTCTCAGCTCCACCTCCTTGCCCCACTTCTCACAGACATCATCAACCTGTCCCTCTCCTCTGGCTCTGTTCCCATTCCCCTAAAAACTGCCATCATCACTTCCACTTCCTCCCTTGATGCGTCGCAGCTATCAAGCTTCCGGCCCACCTCCAACCTCCCCTTCCTGTTCAAGGTCCTTGAAAGAGTTGTCGCCTCCCAGCTGCGCTCTTTCCTCTCCACCCATTCATTATTTGAACCCCTTCAGTCGGGTTTCCGTGCTGCCCATAGCACAGAAACTGCCCTGGTCAAGGTCACCAATGACATCCTGACCATCTGTGACCAGGGCTCCCTCTGCCTCCTCGTCCTCCTCGACCTATCGGCAGCATTCGATACGGTCGACCACGCTATCCTCCTCCACCGCTTGTCCTCCCACCTCAACCTTCAAGGCCCTGTCCTTGAGTGGTTTAGGTCCTACCTCTCCCACCGTCTTCACTTTGTTTCCACGAATGTTTTTTCCTCCATTGTCTCGTGCGGTGTCCCTCAGGGCTCTGTCCTCGGTCCCTTCCTCTTCACCCTCTATATGCTCCCCCTGTGGTGACATCATCCGCAGACATGGGGTTAACTTCCACATGTATGCGGATGACACCCAACTCTACCTTTCCTCCTCTACCCTCAACTCCACGACCCCCAATGTCCTGACAGCTGCCTGTCCGACATCGAGTCCTGGACGAGAGACAACTTTCTTCAGCTCAACGTGCGCAAAACTGAGGCCCTCCTGATTGGCTCACGTCAGCGCCTCCGCACCTCAGGCGCTGACACCATCAGCATCCAAGGCTGCACTCTCCACCTCTCAAAGCCATCAGGAACCTCGGCGTTCTGTTCGACCCTGAGCTGTCCTTTCTTCCCCACATCCGCGCCACAACTGGCACCGCCTTCCATCACCTCCGAAACATCGCCAGACTACGGCACTACCTCACCCCTCACGCGGCTGAAACTCTGGTCCACCCCTTTATCACCTCAAGGCTGGACTATGGGAACTCTCTCCTCGCCGGCCTTCCCGGCCCTCCCTCCACACTGCAGGTCATTCAGAACTCTGCAGCTCGTGTACTGTCCCGCACCAGACACCGCGACCACATCACTCCCGCCCTCACCCTCACCCTCGCCCTCACCCTCGCCCTCGCTCGCCTCCACTGGCTCCCCATCCCCCAGAGGATCGAATTCAAGATCCTCATCCTCACCTACAAGGCCATTCACGGCCTCGCTCCCTCCTACCTCTCCGACCTACTATCCCCCTACCTACCTGCCCGTACCCTCCGTTCCTCTGGCTCCGGTCTGCTCCACATCCCCCGCCCCAACCGCCCTACCATCGGTGGCCGGGCCTTCAGCCTCTCAGCCCCGAGGCTCTGGAACTCCATCCCCCAGTGCCTTCGCCGCTTCCTCCCTTTCCTCCTTCAAGGCCGGTCTCAAGACCTTTCTCTGTGACTGTGCCTTCAGCTCCCCTCTCGACTCTCTACCCCCTCCTCGCTTCTTCCCTCCCCTCACCATTTTCCCCCTCCTCGCTCCCTCTCTTCCCTCCCCTCACCCTGACCATTTCTCCCCAATGCTCGGGTCCCGACCCAACTGTCCAGCGCCTTGGGAAGTCCTCCCGACGTGAAAGGCGCTCTATAAATGGAATCTTGTTGTTGTTGCTACAGTGTGCACAAGAGAGAGAGAGAGAGAATAAACATAACATTTGTGACTGTGCATGTTAATGTAATTACTTTTATAAGTCATAAAACTGAGCTGTTTGTGAAGTGTGACCTCTACTGGATATGGTTTAATATCACAAATATGCACACATTACTGTATTCTGCAGACTGAGGTTGGAGCATAAACAATTCCGTATCACGAGTATTTTTGTTGGTTGTATTTGTTTCCTACCACTATTACTTTTTTTAATTCAATTAAAATTAGATTTATCACTCAGTAGTGGGTCATTATGACACCAGACATAGTTACTGAAGCACTGAATTTTCACTGGTTAAAAAAAATACCCATTTTTAATATTTAAATCAAATCTGAAATATTTTCTTTTCAGAATGCGAACACTTGATCAGACACATGCTAGTTCTAGAGCCCAGCAAGCGCTTATCTGTGGAGCAGACCTGCAAACACAAGTGGATGAAGATCGGTGATCCTGACCCGGAGTTTGACAGGGTGAGAAGTACATTCCTGCATTTTATTTTCTCCTCTCTGCCCCTCATCCCCAAAAAACCTAAAATCCTCTTCCCTAATCTCTCCACTTTGCCCCCTCCTTCCCGTTTTGGATCACGACTGAAGACCTTCCTCTTAGACCGTACCTATGGTCACCTCCTCCCTTCCCACTTTTAGCAAACCATAAGCAGTTTAAATGAACTAAATGGTGGATTATTCTTTGGTTGCAAACAAATCACTATTCTTGTTCACTACGCAGTTAAACACAACTATAATGTACATGCAATGAGCTGTAGCACTTTTGCCCCCCGTAAAATACCATGGCTAAAATTGCTGCTTAATGTAGTTATTTTGAGTTTCAGGTGGAAATATGGAGGTAGATAAAAGCACTGACCTGAATGTAAAACAACTCACTAAAAGTAACATTCTTTAAAATATGTCCTCTGCTCCACCATCGCTGACTGCACTTTCAGCCACTACCCAATTCCCCTGCTTTGCCCCCTCCTACCACTCTTTTAGGTAACAACTGAAGACTTTCCTCTTCGACTGTGCTTCCGGTAACTTCCTCCCTCCGTAACAAATGCAAGTTGTTGTTGTAAAGCAACCTCTTCTCTACTTTCCGTTCATCTAGTTAATAACGGAATCCAGGCAAATCAAAGTAGAAATCAAGACGGAACCGCTGAATGAGCAGGTACTCATGTACATGACGGAACTTGGCTTGGATAGAGATCGCACACTACAGGTAATGTTATGCGATGTAGTTCTTATCAATAAGAACATTATCTGTGCATTATCTGTAAACCTACTCTCAATGGTACAATATTAGGTTACTTTATTGTAACTCACAAGTCAATATTTAAGATGATTTCCAATACTTAATTTTTAATTCGAATAAATTTGAGTTCTGTAGAATTAAGAACGTTTTGGGGTTCCCAATAAAATGTGCAGCGGGTGCGAAATGGTACGAAGTGAAAATAACACTTCCAACAAGGTGCAGTGTCTGACGGCAGATTTTGTATTCATTTTAGTCATTGAACACAGACGCCTATGATCACTTTAGTGCAATTTACAGCCTGCTGTGTGACAAGCTAAAACGACACAAGACATTGCGCATCTCGGCACCTCCCAGTGTGCCTCGCTCCATGCCGTTTCAAACGCCTTCCAATGTCCAGGTAACATGCCCAGGGTATTCAGAGTTTGTGGATTAATGATAGTCGGTGTGCCTTTAAAATATAAAATTTACGTGCTGACATGTAGATTGTTGACCGTGAAACAATACCTTTTATTAGGCTTACGAGAAATATCTCCTACAGAATTTCTGATGATCAGAGAGAAAGAAATGTGCACAAAGCCTCTTATATTTGAACCTATTAAACTCTGAACTAAGCAGAGTTCAGCGACCTGTAGTTATATGCACTGTTCATTGCCAGTCCTACACATTCTGATCTATTTTAACTGTTTATTTTAAATCTGATCATACAGTTCAGTAGTAAAGTGTTCTGGGTTTTAAACTGAGAATTAAATAGTTGGAAGAGCTAATTATTTCTTTCCTTTAACATCAGGCGGAGCAAACTGGCAACACGTTGAGTCTAAATGTACCACAAGTGCAGCTCATCAACCCTGAAAACCAGATTGTTCAGGTCAGTGACATGCTCGGAGCTTATGAGAGGGGTTTTGTCATGTTTCAACATGATGATGGTGTTTGTTGTTCAAATCAGATCTGTGAAACAGTGAAGTAACATTGTACAGATACTGTCTGCTCAGCAAAGATAATCAAGCAAAATCTATAGAATCATCTGCTCCACATCCCCCACAATTCAACCCCGCTCCACCCTCACAAGCATCACCCTGCCTACACTGAAATTCATATATCCCATGTTCATTTCAGTCTGTATCTCTGTTATAATCTATGTACTTAATAATAATGTAGAGACATTCTAATATACCTACATAATGATGTTCTCAACTGTTCTTAAGCAGGTACTTATCCAGTTCTTTCTTGAAGCTTAATGACACTCTCCTCAGCTGATTCCAAAATATCCTCTTCTTTCCCCGTCCCACCCTGATGCTCAGCTCTCTTTATGCTATTTTTCCCGGAATTCCTTTAACAGTGGCTAACTTTATAAAGAATTGGAGTGATGCACTCCTGCTTGTAAGATTAGATTTATAGTTACAGGGTTTGACATTTGGCAGATCGGCAATGCAAGTACAGTCCCAAAAGAACTGTATGGTTTACAGTTTAACTGTGAAACAAGTTTGGTGTTACCTCAGCTCTATGAACACATTGAGAATGCTCAGGAATAGAAAAGCCTTTTTTTTAAACCTCTCCTGTTAAGCTCCCCGAGACGCTGTCCTGCGTGAAGGACGCTACATAAATGCAAGCAATGGTTGTATAACATCAGAGATTTTGGTCTTTCCTCTCAGACTGATGGTAACATGAATTTAGACAGCGATGAAGGTGAAGAACCATCCCCGGAGGCCCTGGCACGATACCTGTCTATGAGGAGACATACTGTTGGTGTTGCGGACCCAAGGTTAGTGCTGACAATCAATGGGTAACACTACTTATGTAACTAATGAAAGTGCGTATGTGGAGGTGTATTTAAAATCATGAGAAGGTAAGAGAGTCACTATATACCCTAACCCTCCCTTGATGCGTCGCAGCTATCAAGCTACCGACCCATCTCCAACCTCCCCTTCCTATCCAAGATCCTGGAACGAGTTGTGGCCTCCCAGCTGCGCTCTTTCCTCTCCACCTATTCATTATTCGAACCCCTTCAGTCGGGTTTCTGTGCTGCCCATAGCACAGAAACTGCCCTGGTCAAGGTCACCAATGACATCCTGACCATCTGTGACCAGGGCTCCCTCTGCCTCCTCGTCCTCCTCGACCTATCGGCAGCATCCGATACGGTCGACCTCCTCCACCGCTTGTCCTCCCACCTCAACCTTCAAGGCCCTGTCCTTGAGTGGTTCAGATCGTACCTCTCCCACCGTCTTCACTTTGTTTCCAAGAATGGTTTTTCCTCCACTGTCTCGTGCGGTGTCCCTCAGGGCTCTGTCCTCGGTCCCCTCCTCTTCACCCTCTATACGCTCCCCCTGTGGTGACATCATCCGCAGACATGGGGTTAACTTCACATGTATGTGGATGACACCCAACTCTACATTTCCTCCTCTACCCTCAACTCCACGCCCCCCGATGTCCTGACAGCTGTCTGTCCGACATCGAGTCCGGGACGAGAGACAACTTTCTTCAGCTCAACGTGCGTAAAACTGAGGCCCTCCTGATTGGCTCCGTCAGCGCCTCCGCACCTCAGGCGCTGACAGCATCAGCATCCAAGGCCGCACTCTCCACCTCTCAAAGCCATCAGGAACCTCGGCGTTCTGTTCGACCCTGAGCTGTCCTTTCTCCCTCATATCCGCACCACAACTGGTACCGCACTACCTCACCCCTCACGCGGCTGAAACCCTGGTCCACGCCTTTGTCACCTCAAGGCTGGACTATGGGAACTCTCTCCTCGCCGGCCTTCCCGGCCCTCCCTCCACACTGCAGGTCATCCAGAACTCTGCAGCTCGTGTACTGTCCCGCACCAGACACCGCGACCACATCACTCCCACCCTCGCCCTCACCCTCACCCTCGCCCTCGCTCGCCTCCACTGGCTCCCCATCCCCCAGAGGATTGATTTCAAGATCCTCATCCTCACCTACAAGGCCATTCACGGCCTCGCTCCCTCCTACCTCTCCGACCTACTATCCCCCTCCCTACCTGCCCGTACCCTCCGTTCCTCTGGCTCCGGTCTGCTCCACATCCCCCGCCCCAACCGCCCTACCATCGGTGCCTTCAGCTCCCCTCTCGACTCTACCCCCTCCTCGCTCCCTCCCTTCCCTCCCCTCACCCTGACCATTGCCCCCTTGCTCGGGTCCTGACCTAACTATACAGCGCCTTTGGACATCCTCCCGACGTGAAAGGCGCTCTATAAATGGAATCTTGTTGTTGTTGTATATCTGCGTTGGCTGCATTTGTTGGAACGTCCTCCTGACGTGAAAGGCGCTATATAAATGTAATTTTGTTGTTGTTATTGGTCTAAACCCTTCAATTTAAAAAGTTCGATTGCAGCACTGTCAATGGCCCCGTCAATGCATTATTTACTGCCCCAATGAGCTGGAAGGTCCCAGGTTTGATCTCTGGTCTATGCCGAGTTAATTGATCTCTGCTTGGGTAGCAGTAAGGATGTTACATTTGGCTTCGGTGTTTCCAGGATATTGAGGGGAAAAATTAACCAATGTTCCCACTGCTGGTTGCTGCCCGGTGGCTCTTGCTGAAGTGTGTACTTGTACAGGTGTTGAAGGGTGAGAAGTGGAATCGGTTTGTGTGTGATCTTCGTGGTTGAGCAGCCTGTCTGAACTGAGCACTCGCTTTGCAAGCGAGAGGACCCGGGTTCGAATCCCGGGCCAGGGCAAACCTTAGGCAAGTTTCCTTACTCCACACACACGCCTCTGTTTACCTAGCAGTAAGTAGGAACCCGGTTGTTGGTCGATTGGCGGATCACTTTCCAGGGAGTAATAATCCCTTCAAAAAATAATAATTTGGTCACTCAATTCACGACTGTTTGTGGGACACTACCTTGTGCAATTAGCTGTCATGTTTTGCTCATAAAATACACAGTAAATTCACTTTACAATATATTTTGTGAAGCACTTTGAAACGTCTCAATGACGTGATAAGACGCTATATCAAATGGAAAGATTATTACGATTAACTATTAAGTGTCTGAAGTGTACCCCAGTATAAGTCACCGCCTTTCAGAATGAATGGTTTTAAAGGGGGGGAAAATTGCGGGAAGGAGAAAGCTGAGGAACTGAAAAAGCAGGTTGACAGTCTCATGGGTACTTATTCATAGTTGTTAAAAAAAATGCTTAATTTAATTATTTTACGCTGCAGGACTGAAGTTACAGAGGATCTACAGAAATGCCACCTGCCTGGTTTACCCCGTGTTGTGCCTCAGGCTCCTTTCCTGCCAGTTGTTCCAAATGTTAATCTGATGCAGAACATGCTTCACATGCAGAATCTCCAGCCAGCCGCACAGCTGGAGTACAAGGTGGGTAACTCCTGCTGCAAAAGCATTCATAAATTATGAATGACAGTGAGTCACCACCTTTTTAGAGTGAATGATTTTATTTTTCCCCCATTTAACAAAAGTGTTGTTTGTTTTCAAGAACAAATTCGATAGATTTCTGTTGGGAAAATAGTATCTGGGGGATACAGCATTTAGTTTGGGACACGACATGTCAAGCGACTGTCAGGATGTTGGAAGGCGAGCTTGGCGGACCTTGGTCTTCCTTCCCTGAGCGAATTCCTATGTTCTTAACTTCAGAATTAACTAAACCAGTCTACTCTATCTGGGCCGCAAGACATGTAAATGCAAGTGGGTCTTGGTTCCTTTTTGTTTGGTATTTGCAACTGTTTTGCTATGGTTGAACCAGGAATTTGGATTATCCCAATTTTTATTGCACATTTGCAAAGTTGCCACGGAAATCGTCACAATTAATGGGCTCGGCCATACAAAGCGAGTCTCTCACTCTCACTTGTGTGCAGTGTCACTGAGCTCCTGCTTGTGGCACTGTTTAGCGCTGTGCTCCACAAGTGGAACAACATCACAGCAACAGAAGTACTACAGGTACGTCTGATGTTTATTCAAATACTGTGAATTGCTGGATGTCGGGCCGCAGTATGTTGGGTGTATGGGTGGGCACAGTCTACCTACGCATGGACCCAAAAGATTTTGCTGTCATCACCATCGGAGTCGGAGGCACAGACTATCCTGTTATCTGGCGACAACACCCACCATTAGAGTACTAAGTTGCAGTATTGGCATTAACAAGGGAGTGTTGCTGAATCAAGCAATCCTGTCTCCAGGGCATACAAAGCAGTTAGTTACATCACTCTAACCTGTTTGTAATATTTGTGTTCAGCCTGCTGATGACAGCTCAGCCCGGCCTGGCTCATCAGCAGGACAGACCAGTCACTGGGGGCAGGAAATCCTCCTACTCAGCTCCTGTTAACCCTGCAAGCCAAAGCCCTAATGGGTAGGATGGTCCTAGCTGGTTAATCAGCGGGAAAGCTGGCCAGACAGCAGTGCACAGAATTTTAGTATATTTGTTAACAAAGTTATATTGCTAAAAAGGTGGACAAAATATCATCAGATGCAATTTACTCTTCCTAGAAGAGTTTGCTTCAGTTGTTTTAAAGCCTTGTACTTTTTTTTGTTGATGTAGCATGCAAAATTCTTGAACTGTAATATTTTGATTGAAGTTCTGTTCCCCAAAGTAGAACAGTTTTAAAAATCAAGTCACCAGGGTCAAGGCCTGATTTTCTGAAGTGCAATCATTGACACTTTAAAAAAAGGTTCCTTTCCAACATAAGAACTAAAGAATTGCTGGACGAAAGAAGACCAAGGTCTTCCAACATCGTAACAGTCGCAAGCACATGTTGTGTCCCACACTACATGCTGCATCCCGAGATTTTAATTCCTAACAGAAATCTCTAATTTGTTTGTGAATCGACATTTTCTGCTTCCACCGTCTATACTGCGTGCATTCCTGTTTCTTGCGTGACTGTACACTTCCACTTTTGAAATTGCTCATTTTCTTTTCAGGGAGTAAAATAGGACTCTCCAAATCCTCCAAGTACTATCAGCAATCTTTGCTTCATCTCATCAAACTCTTAGCTCCTTTTGGAAATAGGCAAGTCCTGGAGCATTGAATTGCCACTTATGAATAGTTCAAACAAATATTCTACTTTCGATTAATGTTATTAACTTGTGCTATACTTAGTAGTTATAGTACTGTAGTAGTCTCCGCCCACCCTTTGGAACTCCATTCTATAATTCCTTCGCCTCGCCCCCTCCCTTGTCAACTTCAAGGCCCATCTCAAGACCCTCTTTAACCGTGCCTTCAGTCACCCTCCTACCCCTACTCTCCCTGCCCTCCAACACCCTGCTCAATTCCTTGACTGTCCAGCGCCTTGGGTCGTCCTTCCGAAGTAAAAGGCGCTGTGTAAATGTCCTTTGTTGTTGTAGTGCGGTGATGTTAACATGAGTGGAACAATCTGACTGTGAGGAAACAGGTTTTGCAGATATGAACGAATGAACAATTTTACACTTGTTCTTTTAACATTTCCAACCGATATCCATACAGTTTTAGCAATGTTTATGACAAAAGAACCAGAGGGGAGACCAGGAATTTTTTTTTTTTGCCCAGAGTGCTATTACACTGGAGTCCTGTAGCTCAGTGGTTAGAGCACTCGCTTTGCAAGTGAGAGACCTGAGTTCAATTCCAGGCAGAGGGCGAAACCTTGGGCAAGTTTCCTTACTCCACACAGAGCCTAATAATAATCCTCCAAAACCCCAAACAATAATAAATTGGTCATTTTCAATCTACGACTGTTTGTGGGACATTGCTGTGCGCAATTGGCTGCCGCGTTCGCCCACAAATATACAGTCAATTCACTTTACAGTGTGTTCTGTGAAGCGCTTTGGGACGTCCTCCCGACGTGAAAAGCGCTATATCAAATGCAAGGATTATTATTATTATTATTATTACAGTCTGAACGGATGGTGGAAATAGATTTGAAAATAGTTTTCAAAGGGGAATTGGATAGGTACTTCAAAAAGAAAAAATTGGGAGAGCTACAGGGTAAGAGCGAGAGAGTAGATTTGAGTTGGTAGCTCTTTCAAAGAGGCGACACGATTGGGCCGAATGGCCTCCTTCTGTGCTGGAAGAGTCTATGATTTATGAAGCAGCTGTAACCAAATTCTGTTGCAGAATGTGGCCATTAGGGGGCGCAAGGCTGCAATACTGAATATAAAAGCTATGGCTTCCGTAGTTTTATTCAATACCTTTTGATCCCACAAACTGGTACATGGTCTTTCCCACTAGACCACCGTCACTCTCCTCAATGCAGTCGTATTTCCAGACATTTTCTGTACGCGTTGGACAAAAAACGGGACACAACAAGAACAATTTTGATTGAAAATAGAATTTCCCTAAACCAAAAGGCAAAATATGCAGATGCTGGTACTCTGAAATAAAACCAGAAGTCGCTGGGAACACACACAGCAGGTCAGGCAGCATCTATGGAGAGAGGAAAATGAGTTAACGTTTCAGGTCATCGACATAGATACTGCGTGCTTCGTGCTCCCAGTGACTGCTGTCATTATCCTAAAAGCGTTTTGCATGTAAACACAAAGGGCTTTCAAGGCTCTGAGACATAGAAGCAACACTTTGAAAAGTTGAATCCTCCATCTGGATGTGCACGTGTTCCATTGCTAACTTTATGGACTTTACAACACCAATAGATTGCATTTGTAGAGCGTATTTCACAGCAGGTGGAACAATTTTGTATCAGACTTTTAGGGTAGTTCACTTTTAAAATTCTCTTTGGTGGGATCAGTCTGTCTGGACCTGAAATGTCTCGTTTTCCACTTTCCTGTTCTTAATTCATATTTTCATTCCCCATCATCTCTATATCTTTATTCCTGACTCTTATCTTGTTGTTGTTATTTACTTCCTCTGTCTGTATCTCCTTCCTGCAGATTCCACCACCAGCACCCGGAAGGTGACAAAGTGTTCACAGTGTGATAGTTAATAACGAATGTTCACATCCAACTACAGAAACATGGCTCTTTAGAACAACACAAGCAAGGAAACTGATATCAAAACAGATGGATACGTGTATCAGACAGGAAGGAAGCTATCAGTGATGAACGAACATTTTAATGATTGATTTTCTAAAATTCCCCTTTGAATTCCCTAGGAGCAGTCGCTGCTTCAGCCTCCAACTCTGCAGTTGTTGAATGGAATGGGCCCGCTCGGCCGACGGGCGTCCGATGGTGGAGCCAACATCCAGCTTCACGCCCAGCAGCTGCTCAAACGCCCACGAGGCCCATCGCCGTTGGTCACCATGAATCCAGTAAGCCGTAATTATCCTCACGTTATGTAATGTATATGTAATCCTTGCACTTGATGCAGCGCCTTATCGTGTCTTCAAGACGTCTCAAAGCGCTTCACAGAAAAATGGTAATAATCCTTGCATTTCATACAGCGCCCCATCACATCTTCGAGACGTCTCAAAGCGCTTTGCAGAATGTAAGGTAAAGTGAATTGACTGTATATTTTGTGGGTGAAATGAGGCAGCCATTGTGCACAGCAGAGTCCCAAGTGGATTGGGTGACTAATTTATTATTATTTTTGTGTTCATGTAGCGCCTTATCTCGTCAAGATGTTTCAAAGTGCTTCACAGGCTACACTTTAAAGTATTTCTGGGGTTCATAATCCTTTCAAAAAAAGATAAATGAATAAAATAATAATGATAATCTGGTCATTCAATTTACAACTTGTTTGTGAGTCACTGCTGCGCGCAATTGTATACAGTCAATTTACTTTACAGTATATTTTGTGAAGCACTTGGAGACATCTCAATGAAGGGTTAGGGCGCTATATCAAATGCAAGGATTATTGTTATTAATGATGAAGTGAGAGGAGCATGTGATGCATTCCATTACTGATACTGATGGGTGGGGAAGTAGGGGAGGAAAATCGAAACATATCCTTTCTGTATAAAATCTACTACATTGTGATGTATGTAATGTATATATAATCCTCGCATTTAATACAGTGCCTTATCACGGTCTTCGAGATATCTCAAAGCGCTTCACAGAATATACTGTAAAGTGAATTGACTGTGTATTTTGTGGGCGAAATATAGTTTGGGACATGACAGGTGCAAGGATAGATATTGGTCTTCTTTGGCCTAGCAAATTCTTATGTTCTATTATCTCATTGCTCTTCCATGTAGCATGCTACTTACTGTCCTGCCGTGTCCCTCTAATACAGTGAGCATGACCCTCTTCTTCCCATAGCATGCGGTGGCAGCAGTGACGCCAGTTGATGAGGAAAGCTCAGATGGAGAACCAGACCAAGAAGCTGTACAGAGGTATGTACAGTCCATAAGTGAGTTACCTTAATCCCTCTCCCCCAGACTGACGCTCCAGTATCTGAGAGGAGCGCGGCATTTATTTTCCTTGTCCTTCAGATGAGGCGTTAAACCGACTGTTTAGGTGATGTTAGAAGATTTCATGATGTTATTTGAAAAGAGAAGGGAGAAATTCTCCTGATAAATTGGACCTTCGCCTGACTGCTGCTTGTGGGTCCTTTCTGTGTGGCAAAATGGCTGCTGGTTTACCCACTGTTCGTGACTATCTGTTACAGGTGCTATAAAATGCGCGTTCCTTAAATAGATGGATTTTAATTGAATTCACTTGTGTTGCAGGTACCTGGCAAACAGAACCAAGCGCCACACACTGGCAATGACAAATCCTACAGATGAGATTCATCCAGATTTGCAGAGGCAGCTGGCACAGCAGCAGGCATTCCGTTCCCGTGGCTGGGTTCCTCACCCTGATCAACATAGCCGGTGAGTGACATTTGCACATTAAGTCTGTGCTGTGGCCAAATCCTAGAGCTGAGCTACTGTGAAACCTCTCAGGTTTGTCTGTAAAATTTGCCGGTTCAGGTTTCCAGAGTAACAAACCACGTCTAATGCTTTGTTTCCTGCACGGTTAGAATTCTGTCTGTGTCCAGACTTATCTTCTAACTTTATACCTCAGTAACTCAACCATAGTCCTGTAGCATATTGGTTATGCGTTCGCTTCATAATTGAGCGGACCCAGTTCAATTCCCGGGCAGGGTGAAACCTTAGGCAAGTTTCCTTACTCTGCACGCCTGTTTACCTAGCAATAAGTTTCGCTTTTCCGGGGGTAATAATCCCTCCAAAAAAGGAAAAAATATTTGGTCACTCAATCCACGACTGTTTGTGGGACGCTGCTGTGCTCAATTGGCTGCCACATTTCTCCCCTAAATGCACAATCACACTTTACAGTATATGCTGTGAAGCGCTTTAAGGTGTCTCAACAGTGTGATAAGGTGCTACCAAATTATTATTTTTACTATGTTTCTTTTTAGCTGGATGAGTACTTTGGGAGTTTGTTAGATCCCATTCGCTCGCTTTTGCTTCCTTTTACAGTAATAAGAGGTTTTACTATATGATGAATGAGCCTACAGCATGCAAATCTATTTCCACTACATATCGGCACACCGGTCATATCAAACATATCTGTTACTGTTAATGGCTTGTAACTAATATAATAGGACTCATAGCATGCTATAGCCACTTGCACAGTTCATTGGAAAAAATCATTCAGCTGCATTTGGTAACACAGACTTGCCAACATTCTCATATGCAGGCAGACAGCTGTCCTGATGCACACCATTTGCGTCAGGAAATATCCTCTTTGGTCATTTGTACAGTATTTAAAAAATAACTGCTGTTTGAGGTTCACCGAGGCTATGCTCGTTTGTGTTTACGTTTTTAGCAACTTTACACTTTCCTTTAAAATAAAAGAATCAAAATATATTTAATAATGTGCAGAAATGCTACTGGAACCAACCAGCAGATAGAAGCAAACGTGAAGGCTCAGAGCACACACACAGGTTGCAGTGCTGATCGTGTTATTTCCTACAGTTGGCCAGATGGACTCTGGACACAGTGTGGCAGCGTTGTTGCCACGTTGGAACTCTGCTGTTGGAGATAAGTGAATCAGATCTAAACAATGAATGCTGTTCATAGCAGCAAGTTCCTTATTACAACTGTTGTATGTGGAGTTCATAACCAGGAGACATATTTATAAGATAGCGAATAGGCGATCAAAAAGAGATTTAGGAGGAACTACTTCATGCAGAGAGTAGTGAGATTGTGGAGCTCGCTGCCTGAAACAGTGTGTCTTGGGGCGTTCTCATGATGTGAAAGGCGCCATACAAATATAATTTGTTGTTGTCACACAGCTTGCCTGAAGTGGTGGTCGAATCATACTGTTAGAATCATTCAAGAGGAAGCTTGATGTTCACATGGGAGATGGGAATAGAAGGGTGTGGGAGGGAGTAAAGGAACAGATGGAGACTTGTGTGGAGTATAATCACAAGCACGGACTGGTTGGGCCGAGTGGCCTGTTTCCGTGCTGTACATTCTTCGTAAATCTTTGTATGGTCACTTGGGAGTTCTCAAAGCCCTAGGATTTTGAACAATATTCTAAAGTTCTACGAGTTGGGAATAGGCATAAATCAGGTTTATTTTGTGTGGTAGATTGTTTTCTGATTTTGTAACCTGTGTTCAGTATGTGAATTTTTAATAAAAAAAATTAAATCTACTACTAAGAGAAATACACTCAGAGAGCAGATGGTGTTCCCCTTGACATGTTAAATTCTAACCTTGCACTATGATTTCTGAGTATTCAATATATCAACAGATCTTTTAACTGACATTTTGTCAAACTACTGTATAAATACCCCAATACTTAGAGATCTGACTTTTATTAGTTTTGCAAGCGAGATTTCATAAATATGAAAGATTTATAGCGCTACCGGTAAATGTGAGAGGGCCCATAATAATAATAATAATCCTTGCATTTGATATTGCGCCTTATCACGTCAGTTGAGACGTCTCAAAACATTATACTCAAAACACTTCACAGAATATATTGTAAAGTAAATTGACTGTGTATTTTGTGTGCCACACGATTCATTGTAAATATGCAAGTGTCTATACTTGCATACTTAGAATGACATTTTCGGTGATTTATTGCAGGGCATCTGCGGAACAACACTCTGGCAGAGAGTCCGCATCTTTTTAATTACCACTGTAGTTATAAATTATATTCAAATTGATTGCTCTTCCCAACTCAGCAAAATGACAGTGGCACTGTGGTGTAATACACAATCTCATAGCAGCAAGTAAATGGATGCCAGTTTTTGGAATTTTTATTAACTTCAAACATTTACTGAGATGTAGCCTCAGGCAAGCCCTTAGGAAAGCTAAAGAGTCAACAATGAGAGCTTAGTTACTGAATTGAATTTAAGCTTCAGGATTTCCCAGTGATTTCAGTGTCTGAGCACGGCAACCTTAATAGCACTGGCCCAAAACTTTACTATATATGTAAATCAGCTTATCGATGTTGTGATTCCAGATACAGATAGAGAACTGAAGCTTCTCTGAAACTGACTAGGAACTGTGTTTTTCAAAATGTCTACAAGGATCACATTTCTTGAGTTGTGTTGGAATGGGTTCATGTCAGAAAATTTATATGTTTTAAGACAAAATGCCAATTAAGTGAATGTTTACACAATAATAATAATGCTTGCATTTGATATAGCGCCCATCACATCGTTGCGATGTCTCAAAGCGCTTCACAGAATATATTGTCAAGTGGATTGACTGTGTATTTTGTGGGTGAATCGGCAGCCAGTTGCTCACAGCAGCGTCCTACAAACAAAGATAACAACAACAATACTGCCAAAGAAAAGATTTTCCATCATTTTTTGTGTTAAGGGGCCTTGTTTTTTGTGCTGAAAAATCACATATGGTTTTCCACAAATGATCTACAGTGGTATCTGGATAAGGCCATACCAATGACAACAACTTGTTTATATGCGCCGTTTACACAGAATGGGGGCTTGGAACGCTTACTATAATGAAGGCAAGAAGGTATTTTCAAAAAAAATCTCTTGACACTGGGGAAATATTTAGGGCAAGTCATTGTTCTACAGGAAATGCAGTGAGTAGTATGTGAGAAAAACTTGTGAGGGTATTGATGTCTTCACACATGACTGCACCTGGATTTCTTGTCTATTTGAGTTTATTTCGGAAGCAGTAGGGTTGGTGTGTTGTCATGATTTCCCGTAGTGTAATGGTCAGTGCACTCACCTTGCAAACAAAAGAACCCAGGTTCGATTTCCGGGTAGTGCGAAACCTTAAGCAAGTTTCTGTACTCCACACGCCTCTGTTTATCTTAAGTAGGAATCCAGTTGTAAGTCGATTGGCGGTTTGCTATCTGGGGGTAATAATCCCCCTCCAAAAAATATGGTCACTCAATCCACGACTGTTTGTGGGACACTGCTGTCCATAATTGTCTGGCTTGTTCTACCCATAAAATACAGTCAATTCACTTTATAGTATATCCTGTGAAGCGCTTTGGTGTCTCAATGACGCAAGGATTATAATTTCTGCTTTTTCTGCTGTTTCAGGGTTTGTTACAAGGACCCCAACACTCTACACCTTCCGACCGAAAGGTTCTCTCCAGTCCGCCGCTTTTCAGATGGTGCAGCGAGCATACAGGCGTTCAAGGCTCACCTGGAGAAAATGGAGAAATGCACAGCCACCAACAGTAGCATAAAACAGCTGCAGCAGGTAGATAAAGTCACTCTTCGTGAACAAGGAAACCACATTTGCATATTTCTAGTTTGCTGTCGGCGGTCGGGTTTTCAGCCTCTTTGCCGCCACCCTTTAGAATTTGGTTCCACCGTCCCTTCACCTTGCCTCCTCCCTTGCCTCCATCAAGGCCTGTCTCAAGACCCTCTTCTTTGACCGTGCCTTTGGCCACTTTCCTACTCCTACCCTCCCTGCCCTCCACCCCTCCTGATCCCAACCCCCAGCTCAGGTCCAAATCCCTGATTGTCCAGCACCTTGGGTCTTCCTCCCGACATGAAAGACGCTGTGCAAATGTCATTTATTCTTGTTGTTGCTGGAACTTCCTTGGTGTTCATCAGAAATTCAATATACACTTGGCCATCAAATAACTATTGATGATCAATATATTTTAATACTTATATTAGACCCAGCACTCCTTTTACGTTGTCTCATTGGTCTAGTATTTTCAGATTTGGGATTAATTGGTGAATGAGGTTTGTCATGTTGTTTAGTTGCTTGATACTACAGGGGCAGTGGGACTGGAGCTGCCAAATGGCCTCTTTCTGTGCTGTAAGATTTTATGATTCTATTATTCCAGAAACACTTGTACTTGTTTCTTCATAGAATATTACAGCACAGAAGGAGGCCATTCGGCCCATCGTGCCTGTGCAGGCTCTGGAAGAGCTACCACTCCCCTGCACTCTCCCCTTACACCTGCAATTTTTTCCTTTTCAAGTACCTATCTAATTCTCTTTCGAAACTTTTCCTTATGGGAGTTACAAAGGCAATAGCTGCTTTATTTTTGTGTTCAGGAACATGAGCATTTACAAAAGATGTACGGAAATGCCATGGACGAAAGGTTTTTAGAAAAGACACAGCAACAGCACATACTTTACCAGCATGAACAGCAGCACCAGATCCTACAGCATCAGATTCAGGTACCGTCAGAGTTTACAGTTGTACACATGTAGATCTGTGCACTCGTTTATTTGATTAATTCACCTATCCTTTGTGTGACCAATCTGGTAACATCCTTCCAGCAATCTCCCCCTCTGTCCTCAAAATAAGCATTCCGTTGGCCTCGCTTTTAAGAATTCCTACGTTCCTTCACAGGGGTAATAATTCCTTCAAAATAAATAAAAAATAATAGGGTCACTCAATCCACGACCGTTTATGGGACGGTGCTGTGCGCAATTGGCTGCCGTATTTCAAAATATACAGTCAATTCACTTTACAATATATTCTGTGAAGCGCTTTGAGACTTCTGCTACCTCTTAATGCCCTACCATCCTGCCCGCTCCCTCCGGTCAGCGGGCTCCGGCCTGCTTCATGCCCCTCGCCCGCCCCACCGTTGGTGGGTGGGCCTTCTATCAATCTGCCCCCACCCTCTGGAACTCCATCCCGCAATCCCTCCACCTCGCCCCTTCCCATGTCTCCTTCAAGACCCATCTCAAGACCCTCCTCTTCGATTGTGCTTTCAATCACTCTGCTTCCCCCCCCCCACCGCCCTCCAATCCCGACCTCCAGCTCTGGTCCGAAACTTTTGACTGTCCAGCGCCTTGGTACGTCCTCCCGAGGCGAAAGGCGCTATACAAATGTAATTTTGTTATTGTTGTTGTTTTTGTCTCGAAGATGTGATAAAGCACTATATCAAATGCAACGTTTATTTGATATATATTCTTCTTATATTACACATTTAACTTTCTTCATGTGCATGAAGCAACTGACCAGATGCACCAAAGTGCATAAGACCCTCAATTGGAAGCCCATGGTAGTGTGAAGTGCAGACTGTAATTCCCATTTCTCCCCCTCCCAACTCAAAAAATATACCCACAAAATATACAGTCAATTCACTTTACAGTATATTCTGTGAAGCACTTTGTACTATTAAATGCAAGGATTATATGTGCATCTTTTCCTCTGGAACAAACTGTAGGAATGTATCCGACCACCACAGCCTTCACCCCCACTGTCGACGGGCTCACTAGGACAGCACATGGAGAACCAGCCAGCTCTAATCACTCACCAACTGCAAAGGTGAGTCATCCTCATCTCAGCATCTGTTTAAACCTGTTCAGTCAGACAGACAGATTTGTTACTCGTGCCAGTAATCCTCCTCATTGTGTTCTGCTGGGATTTTTGTCTATTCTCAGCACTGAAAAAGAGTATTTTTGTCACTGGCAAGGTTATTATTTCAAGGATTAGGATTCATTATTTTTAGCATTTTAATGAAATTCTGCATTAAGCCAAATAATTTATAGAACAGTACAAACTACACAATTTAATGTTTGAATATCAGTGACCATTTTCATGCTGTAGCAGAAAAGACTTGATTCAGTTAGTATTATGAGTGTTATGAGAATACATTTCCCCCCCTCTTACTTTATGATTATGTGTAAATTAAAATAGAGGTAAATTATACTATATAACTCACAAGCGAGAATATAACTCTCGAACCTGGATTTGATTCCCGGACAGGGAAAATGTTTTCTTACTCCACATGCCTCTCTTCACCTAGTAGTAAGTAGGAGGCCAGTTTTGAGTTGATTGGTGGATCACGTTTCCGGGGGTATTAATCCCTTGAAAAAATATTATAATACTAATTTGGTCACCAAACACACAGCCCCAAAAATACAGAATCAATCCACTTTACAATATATTCTATGCAACGCTTTAAGATGTCTCGAAGACGTGATAAGGCGCTGTATCAAATGCAAGGATTATTATAATTATTTTGCAGAAATGCAATTGTTGGGTTAAGCAATTCAGATGCAGTTGCTACGTGCTGTATTACCTAATTGATCTTACTTAAGAGAACATGTTTTCTCTTTAGGTTACGAATTCAGCATGAGCAGTCAAGTCCTCCTCCCAACCATCCCAGCAACCATCTGTTCAGGCAACCTAACAACAGTCCTCCCCCTGGCACCAATGCCATCATGCAGCCCAGCAGTAAGTAAACTAAACATACACGACTGTTTGTGGGACGCTGCTGTGCGCAATTGGCTGCATAGTTTGGCCCACAAAATATACAGTCAATTCACTTTACAGTATATTTTGTGAAGCGCTTTGAGACATCTCGGGGCGAAACCTGGGGCAAGTTTCCTTACTTCACAAGTACGCCTCTATTTACCTAGCAGTAAGTAGTAACCCGGTTGTTAGTCGATTGGCAGATCATTTTCCGGGGGAAAAATTGGGTCATTCAATCCATGACCGTTTGTGGGACAGTACATTGCGCAATTGGCTGCAGAGTTTCGCCCACAAAATCCACTTTACAGTATATTTGTGAAGTGCTTTGAGACGTCTCAACGACGTGATAAGGTGCTATATCAAATGCAAGGATTATTATTGTTATATAATACCCTATTTTCACGAGTCTTGCCAAGTCATTTGCTTGCTGATTTTTTAAAAACAAAAATATATCTGTGTTTTCAATTCTTCAGGTTGTGCTGCACCTCCATCCCAGTTTCAAGGCATGCCTTCCCACAACACACTGTACCAGCAGCCCAGCAACAGCCCGCCTCCACCAAACCTCGCCCTGCCTCGCATGAACATGCAGCCGGGCCTGTCCCAGCAGCCGACGACACAGCAGGTTACAATCCAAGTGCAGGAGCCGACGGATATGCTGAGCAACAGCATGCTGCCGGGTGGTGTACCCGCCATGCTCCCCTCACACCCCCGGGCAATCATCAGCCCCAGCAACCAGATTCCCCTGCAACAGCGGACGATGCACATCCCATCTCACGGGCTGAGTGGGCAGCACAGGGCACTGGCCAAGCAACTCAGTGCTGATAGTGCAGAGGCAAGCGGGTAAGGTGGCACGATGAACCTAATCTCTTGCTTTTTTAAATGTACCGCAGTGAAGTGTCACGGTTTCCCGCTGAAGAATAGAAGGGTGGTTAGCGTGCTCGCCTCGCAAGCGAGAGGACACGATCAGGGCGAAACCTTAGGCAGGTTTCCTTACTCTGCATGCCTCTGTTTACCTAGCAGTGAGAAGAAACCCGGTTGTTCGTAGATTGGCAGATTGCTCTCCAGGAGGTAATAATTAATCCCTCCCAAAAGAGAAAATAATAATTGGTCACTCAATCCACAACTGCGTGCATGGGACTCTGCTGTGCACAATTGGCTGCTGTGTTTCATCCACAAAAATAACATAGTTTACAATGTATTCTGTGAAACTGTTTGAGACGTCTCAATGACATAAGGTGCTATATCAAATGCAAGGATTATTATAGATGCAGTACTATTTGAGTGAGCTGTTTGATGTGGATAGATGCGAGAATAACTAACCTGCTTCTTACTCTTGTGTTTTCTGCCTTGTTTACAGTCGACCTATTAGCCGGTTCTCCCCTTTGAACTATGAACAGACTCACTTACATCCTCACCACTTCCCGGAGCAGTTTCGGGTTTTACCCGGCAACTTCAACCCAGCGGCTGCGTTCTCCCAAGCACAGGTCCTGAAAATTGCACAGATGGACCAGTTTTCCAGTTTAAACCCGAGCGGGCCTAGGAAAAGCATTCTACAGGCAGAGCAGCAGCAACCAACGAGTTTCACCTCGTTACTACACCAGGCTCTGCTTTCTCCAACGCCACATGACTATACCAGACACCAGCACGTTTCACAGTACGGTTCCATGATCCCGGGACTCCTGTCGCCCAGGCATTCACTGACGGGACAGCAGGACGCACGCTCTGTCGACCTGGCGCATTTCTTAAAATGTCACCAGCGGCAGAAGCAGCAAGAGTACGACTTGCTGAGGCACATAAACCAAGGGGTGGGGGAGGTGGGAAACATGGCTCCCAACCTGTGCGGGCAACAGCAGACTCTGTCAGAGCACCAGACATTGAACTTGCCTTACCAAAATACAGACACCTACCATCAGCACCACCATTTACTGCAAGTCATAGGCCAGGACCACATGACACAACCCCCTTCCTCAACCAAAGGGTGCAGTTTTGTACACCACCCTTCTTTGATGCACTCTGAAAGCATGGAAGAGGATTGCGCGAGTGAGGGGCATGGGGAGGGGTATGAGTCCAACACAGACTGCACTGACACGTCCACTAAACGCTGCCAAGACAACCCGGCACTGCTTAATGCAATCCACCGCGGGGAAGCAGAGACACTACTGGCAACTATGAATCATGCACAAGAGATGGGTGTTGCCCAGCCTTATAGTCATCAACCAGGCCCTGGCTTTGCCAGAAATAAAGTGCCAAACAGAGGTGAGCAATCCCAAGTCAATGTGGTCGTGTGGGACAGATACAGCGATGTCCACACTATTCAGTCATCTGAAATCTCTCGTGGTCCTAGCATTAAAACCTTTAATGTCAGAAACATTTTTGTCACTCAATCCACGACTGTTTGTGGAGACACAGCTATGCGCAGTTGGCTACCGCTTTTCACCCACAAAATATACAGTCAATTTACTTCACAGCATTACGTGATAAGTCGTTACTTCGAATACAAGAATTATTATTATTAAAATGTAGTGTTGTTCGAAATTCTTAAATTCAGTCTGGGAAATTTGGAAGCCTGTTTCTTCAAAGAGCTGCGTTCAACCGGCTTCAAATTATAACTAAAAAATAAGATTTTTTTCACAATTCTGAACAATCTTATATTTTTATGGTCTTAATATTAAAATCTTGGGGTGTTTTGTACCACTGACTCTGACAGGCTTATTACAAAAATTCCAGTGGGTTAATCAGAGACATATGGATCACTTCGGTTTCAGATTGCACAACTGCTCTTACTGATAATGAAACACACAAGCAAATGGGTACGATTTTCACACCCGTTAAAAGGAGTTTTTTTGACTTGCCTCTGCTTTGGAATCCGTCCGAGATTCAGACAGAATTGTCAGAGTAAATGGGAGGACTTTACAAAACACAGCACATTATGAAATGAAAAGCTGGTTTAGCCATCCTTGGTTTGTATGAGGATTTCAAACTTTATTAGGAAGAAGTTTGAAACTTCACTTTGTATATAAAATGATTTCCTTTCTAACAAGTTCCGTGCTGCAGTATATCAACAACAACAAATTACATTTACACGGTACCTTTCATGTCGGAAGGACGACACACAGCCCTGGGCAGTCAGATTTGGACCCGATCAGAGGGTTGACATCAAGTGGGATGGAAGGCAGGGAGGGGAGGGTTAGGAGGGGTCAAAAAGGAGGGTCTTGAAGGAGGCAAGGGAGGGGAGCGAGGCGAAGGGTGTTTGAGATGAATTTCCAAAGGGTGGAGGAAGAGAGTTTGAAGGCCATGACCGTCTCTTGCATGCACTCTAATAATAATGATAATAATAATTTAAAAGTAGGTCTTTTTTTAAAGTAATAAAAAATATTCAACAACCAGTTCTAGGTAAAATTATAATGAGCTCAGGAAACAATTACCTGGATTCTAAGAACTGCCAACCATAGGACAACATGATTCCCAGCCACTGTCATAATGGTAACTCCCTCCCACAACTGTGGTTTACATTTCTCTCAGCACTGAATTTTCCAGGAAGCAACTTCAGGCTAATTCTCATTAAATTGATAGTGATTAGCTTTAAGATTCTTTTGTGACATTTTGACGCACATCAGAGGCTCGAAGCATCTGCAGAAACAACTGGTACTCGCAGAAATAGATCAAAGCCGCATCCTTCCATCAAAAGGAAATTTTAAGTATGAGAAATGTTAACGGGTGCAACGGCCAAGTTGCAATCGGATGATGGGATTCTGGGAACATTTATAAACTTGTTTTGCTGCAGAAAACCATTATTGGATTAATTGACATCCCGCAGTTATCCATTCCTCTCGATTCCAGAGTGTATCAAAACATTATGTCCCATAGAGTGGGAGTTAGAGAACTTGCCTCGCAAGAGAGAGGAGGCGGGTTCTATTCCCTGGTGGGGTAAAACCTTAGGTTGCCTTACTTCACACACCTCTGTTTAACTAGCAGTAAGTAGCAACCCGGTTGTTAGTCGATTGGCGGATCGCTTTCTGGGGGTAATAATACCTTTTCAAAAAAATTTGTTCACTCAATCCACGACTTTGCGCAATTGGCTGCTCTCTTTCATCCACAAAATAGGCAAGTCAATTCACTTTACAATCTATTCTGTGAAGCACATTGAGACATCTCAACGATGTGATAAGGCGCTATATCAAATGCAAGGATTACTATATTATATTTACGGACAATGGCTACTCTCTCCCTGAGAAGAAACTAGTTGACTAGTTGTCCTGCAAAGTGTTTTTAAGCTAAAGCTTAACCTTTTGAGCCTTCCTCCCCTGTCCTCAACTGACACAGTCTGGTAGACACACCAGAGGCTATCGCTTCTGAAGAGATTTTAAAATAAGTGCAGGCTGAACAATGTGTGGCATTTAATGGTTTTGCAAGTAACGACAAGGATAATCATTATTAAACTGTGTATTCAGACAGACAGCTGTTGAAACCTAAGTACTTATTGGAAATGCTACCGTTGTGAATATGTGAAATGATGTTTAATCTAGTATTCACAGGGGCTGCAGGTTTGCTCCAATGAGAATCATTGTGATTACAGGTGTCTGGAAAAGTCCAGCTGATAGCAATGAGAGCAGATGGCGGTATTGACTGAGGCTTTGATAGTGGAAATAGATTAGGGGAAAATCTCAAAAACCATCTGCAAATTCTGTAGTTGTTGTTGTTAATTAACCAAAGTAGAATATCTACAGAAGTGGAACCTTTGTTGTCAGGCATTCCTTGCTTCGTGCTGACACTGTGCGCTCTGGGACACTATCCTACGTGAGCGGTGCTATATAAATGCTACAGGTTTTTTTGTCCCACTTCTTGTCTTTTCCCTAACCCTTTGACCATTAAAGTAGTTCGGACCAGTTGCCATTACCTTAAACATGGGTAAACTTTAATCCTCGCGTCTCCCGAGTTTTCAAGTTGATTTGAACACAATAGGGAACTTAGTGTTTGCCTAAACTCTGAGGAATACTGTTAAACAATGCGCTAAATATTACTGAATTTGGATGATTAGAGCCGTAAATGCTGTTAATGATATCACACAGCACCAGGGTAACCTCAATCATTGCCCTTGTGAAGGACTTGATAACCCCAGGATGAAAAAACGCTTATCCTAGCTTTAAGGAACAAAGGCTTTCAGTCTTAACTTTGCTTACCTTGTGAGTTTTCTGCTGGCTGTCACAAATCTTTTGCAGGCACAGCCCCCCACTCTTGTTTTTAGTAAGAGTTTTTTTTTAATTTATTCATCTGATACACAGAATTAAATGCAGCCAAGCATTTTAGGGCAATCTTGTAAATTAGCATAATTGAATATATAATACTGACTTTGTGATCTAAGCACAAGAATCTGTGCATTGCTTTGTAGTAACATCCTCATGTATCCATTTCATATTGCGTTTCGCCCACAAATATGCAGTCAATTCACTTTACAGTATATTCTGTGAAGCGCTTTGAGACATCTCGATGACGTGAAAAGCACTATATTAAATACAAAAATTATTATTATTATCCCTCATCAGCAGCCATGCTCTTAGCCACAAAATTCCCCTGAGCTTTGGAACTCTCTACTCCAATCCCTGTTCCTTACCCCTTCCTTCCCCTGTTTTAGATCTCGACTGAAGACCTTTCTCTTCGACCATGGTGACAGTCACCTTCTCCCTCCCCCCAGCACAGCATCAGGCTCACCACTATTGGGTGAGAACCTGCCCCGTGTGAAGGGCGCTGTGTAAATACATGTTGTTGTATACTATAAATCTTCCTAATTTGTTGCTATTCCATTGCTAGAAACGGGGCGTTTGCCTCCTCATCGCAATAGCACGCTCGTGGCACAAATACAAACTGCGAGAAACTAATCTGTCAGTAATCGACGAGAGCGATCGAGCAAATACCTCAGTCGTACGTTACATAAGTTGGAAGGAAGTTCCAGAGCACACAGACGCTGGGATAAAGTTCACCCTCATGAATGAACATTCCATCTTGAAATGCTATTTTGGCAAGTGGGGAGTCGGAAATCGATCTCTTGCCAAATTTTCGAGAACAAATTGCAACTGTGGTTTTGATGCAGGAGTCCTACTTCATACTCTAATAACACAGTGACGGGGGAGGCCTTTCAGCCATTTTATTAGATCAATTATAGTGTTTAAATTCCATTTCCTCAACTTTCTCTCCAATTCCTTTAATATCCTTGCTCTCCTAAATATCGGTTTATTTGAAATACCTTCAGCACCTGTGGCTGGTGCAGTCCACATTCTCACAATCCGCTTTGTGAAGAAATGTCCTCTATTATTATTATTAATAATTATTATAGTAATTTGAAGTTACTCAGAATCGATCAAACATTTTCCTCCTGTTTCCCCTCATTCACTTTTACCTCTGACATTGACGGGTAATTTGGTAGCAGAGGATCTGATGGTGCAGAGCAGGGTGGGGGGTCCAACCTTTGGCTGCCGAGGGCCGGATGCCCTATTTCAGATACTTCCATGGGCGGCATAAGCAATATTTTCGTGCTTCCCTTCCAGAAACATAACATTTCTGGGTTATTGAGGGAGGGAGCTAGTGGATCTGATGAAATGAAGGGTGGTGGAGGTGTGTGTGTGTGAAATCGTCCCGCCACCACCCTGGTGTAGAGATGTGTGTGGTTCCAGCTTTGCACCTGCCTGGATCAACTGCCTGGAATCTAAACCTTCAGAAGCTTATATCTGAATCCCTTCGTAACCTTGAGTTGTTATAATGTTGATTATAGTGAAACATAGACTGCAGTAGCCTCACTTGATGACACTAATGAGATGGGCAAACCAGTGATCAGAAGTTATTTATTAAGTATTAGAAATAATTGAGACTCCATTTGAGCAGATTCAAGAAATAAAGTGGTGTAACTACATAAAGTGGAATGCTGTAGCATATTCGTTAGCTCGACTCGCAAGTGAGAGGACCTGGGCTCGATTCTCAGTCAGGGCAAAACCTTAGGCAAGTTTCCTTACTCCACACGCCTCTGTTTACCCTAGTGGTAAGTAGGAACCCGGTTGTTAGTCGATCAGCAGAGCGCTATTACCAGGGGTAATAATGCCTGAAGAGAAAAACAAATTTGATCACAATTGGGACACTGCTGTGTGCAATTGGCTGCCACGTTTCTCCCACAAATTACACAGTTAAAATCCATGTTATAATACATTCTGTGAAGCATTTTGAGATGTCTCAATGATGTGATAAGAACATAATATCAAGTGCTAGGATTATTATGATACAAACCCCCCATTTTGTTGTAATTCCACAGAGTCTGTAAGCGGGAATCAAATGGGTGGAAGAATTCCTCTGCAACCGATGGAGGTGAATGATCACAATGGAGTCAGTTACACAAGACAGTCGCCTCGAACTCTCCAACGACATCACACGATTCAGACGAGTGACGATGTCTATGTACGTGTAAACTAATTGCATTGGTAACTGCAATTTCAAGATCCTCTCACTTGTTTTCAAATCCCTTCACTCCCTGGCATCTCCCTCTCCCCCCCCCCCTCCCAACCCACTACCTGCTGCCTGCGCTCGACTAGCTCTGGCCTCCTACATGTCCTTTGTGCTCTCCGTTTCAGCCACTGCGCCCCAAAACTCTGGAACACTCTCTCTCTATCCCCCCCGCCTTGTCCCTTCCCCATCTTCAGATTGCGCCTGAAGACCTTTCTCTTTGCCCGTGCCTAGGGTGAGCTCCCTCCAGCTCGGAATCGTGCTCCGCCATTGTCAAGTGCTCTGGGATGCTACCTGCGTGAGTGAGGGGCTGCTGTGTAAATGCAAGTTGTTGTTTCGATTAAAAACATAAGAATTTGCTGTCGAAAGCAGACCAAGGTCCATCCAGTTCACCTTCCACCATCATGGCAGTCGCTTGACATGTCGTGTCTCACCCTATATATTGTATCCCGAGATATTATTTTCCAACAGAAATCTATCTAATTTGTTCTTGAAAGAATAGACACTTTCTGCTTCCACCATCTGTCTCCCTAAGGAACCTGTTCCATACATTTCCTGCTCACTCACTGAAGTAGTGTTTCTTTAGATTTGTTCCGAATTTCACCCCCTTCAGTCGCGGGCCGTGTCCTCAGGTTCCACTGTTCAGTACAAGATAAAATAGCTTATCATGGTCTACATTATCTAGTCATCTTGGAATCTTAAAGATTGCTATGTTTGACTGTTCTAAAAGATTTAAAAATAAATAGGTATAGCTTACTTTTTTTTAAAATGATTTAGCAATGAATCCCCCTCCTTAATTTTACAACTGCAGCATGTTTATTTTTAAACTTAACAATATTTTTTTTCTTGTTCTAAAGGATCAGGTGGAATCTCTGTCGGGGATGAGTCTATTAGCTGGAAAGGCCCTCAGCTCTGCCCGAATGTCCGACGCTGTCCTCAGCCACGAATCACTCACAGGGAGCCAGCAGCTACAGAACAGAGAGAACACAGGTGAGAAAGGAGTGAATGAGTTGCCAGCGTTTGTTGCATTGTGTGGCTAAGGTATCACCCATATGTTGAAGAAAACTGCAAATAATTAACTGACTTGTCATTGAGTCAATCGGAACGAGGAAGGTTCAACACACTCCAGCCATTTAATTAAATTTGGTCACTTCAATCCACGACTTGTTTGTGGGTCGCTGCTGTGCACAATTGGCTGCCAGATTTCGCCACAACAATACACAAAAAATGTCAGACGTTGACACCCTGAAGCTATGACGAAGACATCAGCAGTTATTGTGGTTTTTCTTCTGATCACAGGTAATATAATATATAATTGGTTTCGCCCACAAAATAACACAGTCACTCCACTTTACTATATAACCTGTGAAGCGCTTTGAAAAAGCTTAACGACATTGTAAGGCGCTATATCAAATACAAGGATTATTATTTTATTCATATCCTTTTTTTTTGTGCAGAGGGTGGGTGGCAGGGGTGAAGGCACTGCAGGGTGTTGTAAGCAGCCCCTCTCCCCAATTAACCAGTCTCCTCCCTCCTGGGAAAATACATCTTTGTGGAAAGATTTGGAATGGGCTCCATTTGATGTCCTTTGTGCTGTGAGTATGGGAGGGCTCCAGGCACTGTGAACCACTAACTAAATGCCACCGCAAGAAGAAATGGGAAAATTACTTGTGTAATTTTGGAAACCAAGAACAGGCGAGAGTGTAAATGATAGTTTACTTCAGCGAGAGATCCCAGGTTCGATTCCCGGGCAGGGCGAAATATTAGGCAAGTTTCCTTACTCGCACGCCTCTGTTTACCTAGCAGATTTGGAACCCGATGGTTAGTTCGATCGCTTTCCCTTGGGTAATAATCTCCTAAAAAAAATTAAATACTAATAACTTAGTCGCTCAATCCACGGCTGTTTGTGGGACGCTGCTGTGCGAAATTGGCTGCCACGTTTCGCCCACAAAATGTACAGTCAATTCACGTGACAGTTAATCCTATGAAGCGCTTTGAGACGTCTCGAAGACGTGATAAGGCGCTGTATGAAATGCAAGGATCATCATTATTATTATGGTCCTTTTGCCGTGAAAGTTAAACCACGTTTGCTAAAGTGCTTATCCATCTATCTCTGGCTGCTTTTCCAGAATGTGATGAGAGACCTCAGGGCTCTGCTCAACTAAACCCAGATGAGGACTCCCAGCATTCAAACAGTTCCTCCTACTCTGCCAAATGTTTCAGCGAACTTCTGAAAGAACTCAACCCACCTTTCGACAACAAGCTGCTTACCTACAAACACCCTGACCTGGCCTTTGGAATGGAGCAAGCTGGAGTGTAGCGGTTTCAAAGGTGAGGTCCAACAGTGAGAGCAGTCGCTTCTCTCTAAATTGGAGCCTTTTTCACCCTTGGCTTTTCATTGCCGTTTTAACGATCCAAAGTAAAACATTTTATTACCAACATATTATTGCTCGTTCAACTCGATACTTCCTATCCAGCCACAAGTATGGATTCCCGAGGCCTTTTTGCCCAAATATAGGGTTAAGAAACATTCACAAAATGCTTGCTTTTAAGTCTAGACTTACAGTTAAAATATACAAGGATCAAACGGGGGAGCAAAATCACAACAGTAACTAAATCAAACTTGGTACAAAATACATCTCTGAAGGATGTCTTTGGGAGGGGGCGGTTTGAAGGTCCTCTTGTGCTGTAACAGTCACAGTTTGCGCTGAAAACTATTCTAAACAAAGAGGAATCTCTTAAAAATGTTAATAGGTAAGAGGTGAATCGCAGTGTGGAATGGTGAACGTGGCAAAATTCTGGCTACATACAATACTGTACATTGTTGTACATAAGTATATTTTATCATGCAGTGATCTTGCTCTGGTCCATGATTTCTTTTCAGTGTGCTTGGTAAGCACATGCAAAACTATTCACTGTTTTACTTAATGTTTTGAGACGGAAGAATGGTTATATTTGTCTCTTTTCAGTGTAACTGCATATGTCAGAATTGTGCAAGTTGATTGCTCACCTCCTTTCCCACTATTTAGAGGAATGTCGTGGCCAGAACAGAGCCAGAGCCAGAAATTCTTGGAATTCTGTTTTAGCGAATCAAAAATTATGTGTTTCTAAGTTTTTTTTTCCCCCTGGGATCTCACTGACACCTCTTTGCTTCTCCATCTGCAGATGACTCAGTTCAGCCTTGAGGTGAAAGGTCCATTTAAACCAACAGTATCCAGCAGCATCACGCCAAAACATCATTGTATTTCTTTCCAGCCCAGCATCATGACTCTTTGCCTGCCAGTTCAGTGGTTGTGTTTACTTGCCACATCTGTCAGTACCAGTCATGTGGAGGTGAGAAGACTGAAGTGCTCAACATTTTAGAGAGAGAAAGAGAGAGAGAGAGAGAGAGAGAGACACACACACAGCCATGGCTCCCAGATCTCTTCATGCCTGAAGCCACTCTGGCCCCCTGACGAAGAAGCCCACCGACCCCTCGGTTGTCACTTTATCCAGGGAGAATAACTGAGCATGTGCTCCCAAGGCCTCATTCACTCTGTGAGCAATAAGACTGCTTGCTATTCCCTCTGGTACTCCTCTAGATTTTGTTTTTGCCTAACAGTGGTGCAATATGCTTTTGTTTTCCCCCCCAGTTCCTTTACCCACGTTCGTCATCGTGCTTTCTTTCTCGTGTTCATTTCTGCGTCATTTACCAAAAAAAAACAACAAAAAAAACGTGTACGGCCTTTTTGTTTTTTAAAAAAAAGAAGCAAGTTAAGGTTTTAGAGTTTAATTTCCCGTTCGTGTAGATACCTGTCATGTTTCCTTAAGATTGTCGATTGAATGAACCGTGCGTTTAATGGGGAAATTATCAAAATAGCTGATTTTTGTTATATTTGAATTGTAAACTTGCACCTTGGTTTAAAGTATTTTCCCCTTTTTATGGCATTGTAATTGTGACTTGATTCCCCTTGTGCCAGGTGAGAAAATGTGTTAATGTTAAACTCTTTGAAATTTCACAGCGTATTATGTTTCTATGTCATATCGTATCCTTTTTTTATTATTATTATTATTAAAATGCCCGGACCCACTGGAAGCTTGGGTTTTTGGCTACTTTCTGAACTCTTTTTAAAAAAACTGATCAGAATTTTTTTTTAAGTTGAAACAATTATTTGCTGCTTCGAAGAGTGGAGTGGATGAAGCGGAACTCTGAAAGGAATTTGCACGAACAGACAACAAGACAACAAGACTACAGCTAAGCCAGTCAAGCAGTGTTTAACTGTGGTTTTAGAAATCATGGTTTTAAGACAAAAAGAAAAAAAGAAAAAAAAAGTAGCTTGGGGCAGACAAAACTTTTAAACTTGACGAATGAAATTAAAATATCATCCATTTACCTGCTTCCAAACTACATATCTGTCCAACTTCTGTTATTTGTACATTTTTGTTACATTTATTTGACGAAAATAAGTCAAAATAAAAAAACTTGATATTCAGCTGTTTTAACGGGAAGGTACAGAGAAAAGCCTGAGATCGTTTTATTGTATGTAACTTTTCTTTGTTTACATGACACTGTATTTAAGGGAGAGTCACTGCCACCCTATATATAAAAACCCAATCAGAACTGAAAGCAGTGCCATCTCTCAACTTGTAACACATTTTTTTTAATGTTGCTTTGTATTGTAGTAATCAATACGCAGTATATGTTGAATGTATATTAATATACTTTGCTATTTCTGTTTCGGAAATGTTGAAAGTATTTTTTTTCTTGTTTATGTTGGACAAAAGGTTCAGTGATCTAGTACATTGTGTGGGTCACTTGCAACTAGTAATTTAGTTGGAAAGTGGGATTATGATAAATAAAACCTATGAATTTGATCTGACCAAAAAGTTGCTTGTTTGTCCAACGTGTCGGCCCGAACTCTTTCTCTGTCCCACTGACTTCGATAGCGTTCTCTCCAGGTCACACTGTGGGCTTCTCAAACAGTTCTGACAGCTGGCGGATGGAAGGTATAATAATTCCATCGCTCTCTGGACAAGGGTAGTATGGAGTATGTGTAGAGTCCTGTAGCTCAGTGGTTAGAGCACTTGCTTTGCAAGTGAGAGTCCTGGGTTTGATTCCCAACAGCGCGAAATGTCGGGTAAGTTTCCTTACTCCACACGCCTCCGTTTATATACCAGTAAGTAGGAACCCGGTTGTTAGTCGATTGGTGGATCACTTTTCCAGGGGTAATAATTCCTTCAAAGTTTTAAAAAAAAATAATAAATTGGTCACTCAATCCATGACTGTCTGTGGGACACTGCTGTGTGCATTTACTGCCAAGTTTTGCCCACAAAAGATTTAGTCAATTCACTTTACTGTATATTCTGTGAAGCACTTTGAGACGTCGAGAAGACGTGATGAGACGCTGTATGAAATGTAAGGATTATTATTACAATGATATGTAGATCAAAACTCTGATGGAATAATGGCTCTGCACTCCATTGTTTAGGAATGAATTTTCCATTTGCCTCAACCATCCTGTGGTCTTGTAGCCGCTAGGAACTGGATAGTGTAGCTCAAAGTAGGGATTCTGGTCTCATTCGCCCGGATTGAAATATGGTTTAATTCTGGATTTAGCTGCTGTCTTAAACCATGATTTCCTGCTTACTCGCTGAAGAAACTTTAAATTCCCGTTGAAAGTTGTTGAAAACGTTTCTCTCCATTAAGAATAGCATCGCCCTCCTGCGAGGAAATACCATTGTTCTTTGTGACAAAATGTGGCTGGATTGGATCGAATGCAAGGCCCAATATGATCATTGATCGAATCTCGGCTGTATGACAAATTAGCTTTGGTAAGGATAGCACACCTGTGGAAGATTGTCTCTACGGCTCCAATTTAAGAGCCACAAAATTTGGAGCTCTGACTAAGATGGTTGAAAGAATAGTCTTCCTTGATCTACCATTGTGTCCATCTCATTGTAAAGAGTCAGTCAGTTTGCTTGAGTGATTTTGATTAGCGTTGGTCAATGATTCACGTTAAAAACTCACTAGCAAAGGCTATTGTTGTGCATAGACTTCCCAAACTCATCTGCCAACGCAATGCTGCAGTGACCTCGGAGTTTAGCTTCACATTGCCGAGCAGAGGTCTTAAAATTGAGAGAGGTACTCATTAAAAAAAAAACACAGGCTTTCCTCATCAGTTTTGTAAGGCGTAAAATGCCACCATTTCAACCACGGTTAAAATTATTCAAATTAAAGTGTGCCCCACTGGCTGCCGCGTTTTGCCCACAAAATACTCAGTCAATCCACTTCACAATATATTTCGTGAAGCGCTTTGAGACATCTCAACAACATGATCATGTGCTATATCAAATGTTACTATTATTATGATAATCCATTGCTTATTGTATGTCAATGTGAATAGGAAAGGGATTCATTGAGGATCATTGATGTCCATATTATTGATCATTAGTTGGTATCACTTCTTTGTGAGCTCTGTGAACGCTAAGCTGATGAATTGTGCTGGAGGCATGGAATAGACCAAGACAAGACACGATTACATTTGTAAAGTGCCTTTCACATTGCTAAGGCGCTGGACAGTCAGGGATTTGGACCCGAGCGGAGAGGGAGGCTGGAAAGAATTGGGATCAGTGGAGGGTGGGAGGGTAGCAATGGTTTTAAAACTTCCAAAGTGAAAATAGCAAGAAAGTTTTATTATAGCAGGAATCTCACCAAGTTCAACGGTTAGATTTGCTACAGTAATGCTTTAAAAACACAGCAAAGCAAATTATCAGACAGTGGCACTAAATCCAGTTTAAGTTACCTCACGCTTCTCATCTTTCAGGCATTTCCACTTGGAACTCTTTCATTTTGGAACTCTCTCTCCCAATCCCTCTACCTTGCCCCCTTCTTCCTCTCTCTTATATCACGACCGAAGACCTTCCTCTTAGATCGTGCTTATGGTCACCTCCTCCCCCCCCAACTCGGCATCAGACTGCTATATAAATGCAAGTTGTTGTTGTAATGTATTCGGTCTTGCACTCAGGAAGTAACTTGCTTTTTTTTCCCTTCTTGACTGTGAAGCATCTACCAGCTTTCTGTACTGTACTCCCAGCCTAGAGGACAAATAGATAACATATTCCCAAGCCTCTGCCAACACAACTGTATAACTGATCTCTTAACAGATGGACAGCCTGTACTGATTCAATCCTCTGGAGTTTCCCTAGAGTCATAGCTGGCCTCTGTACAGCGTTCTCCTTAATGATTGATGATTCAACGTGAGTAAGGTTTGCAAGCTTTGAACCCTTTTGAACCGGAGTGCGTTGTGCCCTGCTTTTGATCAAACCAGCAATGCAATCTCTTGCCAACCCACACCTCATCCTCTCAGGAATTAGGTGAAGCAGTATGTGTCCCTCCGGGGAGAAAGAGCGCATTCCATTCCAACAACCTATCACGTGTAGGTGGGTGGGCTGCATGGAAATCTCAGTTTGGTTTGAAGACTCTTAAGCAACGGTGATGGGTTTCCGCATGTGTCAGACACCCAGCCGGGAAAGACTAAATACAGCATAAAAGTCCTGGCTTTCCGATGATCAAGCGTCCTATGAAAACAGCAATACTCTCTACAAATGACCTTTCTTATACATTGATAACATTGTATAAAAAAACTGCTTGACTTCGTTACTTGTTCATTAATGATGGGCATTAATGAGTGGCTTAGTCCCAAGATGACGTGCTGCGATTTATCAGATAGCAACGGCCCCAATACAAAGGCCACAGATTAGAATGCAACATGACTCAATCAATCCCCAAGGTTGGCTCAGGTTTCCTATACATCTTAAGAATATTGTTTCTACGCCACTCTCCTCCCCAGTTTTTACTGTCATATGTGATGCTCAGTTTAGCAATGGGATAACAAATGCCTACAAAAGGCATACCGTTCTTGGTAGATCTTGCATTTCAATTTCAACCCAATCTTCCATCTGCATTACAGTTTGTGAACTAACTGCTTTTGATGGAATGTTGCGATCATAATTAGATTTATTGTCTAACCATGCCAAGTCTACATTGGCCTCCCACAGCCACCAAGTCACTCAGCCGGCAATGTGGGGTCAAAATTCAATGGTTGTTAATCGTGACTTTACTTTGTAAATATCTTGTTTCAAGATTTGTAGTTTGGGCTTTTTCTATTCACAAAAGAATTCCAATTAGGAACAAATGAACAGGAGGAGACCATTCAGCCACTCAAGCCTGTTCCCCCATTCTATTAGATCATGGCTGATATGTACCTCAACTCCAATTACCAGCCTTTGCCCCTTATCCCTAATAAACATCTAGCCACCTCAGTCTGGAAAATTTTATTTGATCAAGCATCCAGTCTTTTGGGGGAGAGAGTTCCAGATTTCCACCAGCCTTTGGGTGAAAACAATTGCAAATGTCACATACTAAAGGCCCTCACATCAGTTTGTGCTAATTGACATCCACCACCAGAAACTACTAATCTACCTGTGGTCTGGTTTCTTTACCCTTTACGCTGTTTTTAACGTTGTTATCATTCAGTTCCTCAGATGAGGGAGAGGGGCCACTGAGGGAGAATCACTGGGAATGTTTAACTCTTACGGATTTTAATACCCTGGCACCTCCCTACCTCCCCACCCGACCTGGTTACTCCCCAACCCACTACCGGTTGCTTCCGCTCGACTAGCTCACGCCCTCCATTCCACCCTTGGCCATACTTTCAGCCATTATTCCCTGAAACTCTGGAACTCTCTTCCTCTATCCCTCCGCCTTGCCCTCTCCTTCCCCATCTTTGGGGGGGCTATGTAAATGTGAGTTGTTGTTTAAATGATCGGGTACGCTGCTTATGTTCTCTGAGACGCTGCCCTGCGTGAAGGGCAAGCTGTTTAGTTCAGGTAAAGGAAGAAAAGTTTGGTGGGGGTCTGGGGGAGAAGAGAAATGGTTAATGGTTCTATTTTCCTTTCTCTAGTGGTGGCACAAACATAATATTTCAAAGATTTATCATCATTTTCCGTGCTGCTCACTTTGGTGAGCTCTTAGATTCTGTTGTGTGCGACACCTTGAGAGTTTCACCAGACAACAAAGGGCAATAGAAATAGAACCTAACCCCCTAGTCCTCCCCCGCACAGAGCCCAGGAAACCCCAGTGGATGGTGGCTTGGGCAGGTGCCCTGCTGGCTTGTGACAGCGGCCATACTCCCAAGCCCTGGGAATCTGGTGTGAGCTGAAAAGAGGAAAGGAAAAAATAAAATTTAGAGAAAAGGGCTTGAAATAATTATTTCGAATTGATCTTTGGACAGCTGGTGTTTGTTGAAAAACTGGTGGACACGAGCACAAGCAAATTGGGAACATTGATCCTTGAACTCCAACCTTCCACATAATCAAAACCTTCACTTAACACAGTTTATAGGTCTCTTCCTTATCAAATGTGATAAAATCTTGGTGATAAATAGCAGGAGAGCTCAAGATCCAAAGAGCAGAAGAAGCGAGGGAGAGCAAGAGTGAGAGCAGAGGACCTGATCAGAACTTGGTGAGAACTGGCTTAGTCTTCGTTACTCAAACCACTTCCCAGACTTGGTCAATGTTAAAGTGATTTGCGCGAGAAAGAGGTTTCTTGTATGTGTGTACTTTGATATGTTCTATAATCCTTATTGCAGTTACCCATTTATTTCATGTGGTTACTTTATTGTTTTGATACAAATTCATAAGCAATAATAATTATAGTAATCCTTGCATTTGATACAGAGCCTTATCAAGTCGTTGGGACGTCACAAAATGCTTCGCAGGATAAACTGTAAAGTGGAGTGACTGTATTTTGTGGGCGAAACACAGCAGCCAATTGTGCACAGCACAAACAGTTGTGGATTGTGTAGCTTTTGATATTTAACATATCAAAATTGGTGCAATTGATTTTACTTTTATAATATGTTTGTTCACTTACTGAGCTTTGCTGTATAAGTTATTTTTTCAGTCCAATAACTGTGCTGTGAATGTGTGAATACTCTCTCGTTTAGTAGAGTGTCCGCGCATTCATATTGTGAGCTCAACTGTTTTGAGGTTGGCCGGAATTTGTCTGCACCTGAAATCTCGGTTGATCCACTTAGCTCCTCATCTTTTTGTCGTAGATGAAGATGTCTTAAAAATTATCCTAGAAAGGGTGTTTGTGTGCATGCTGTGAGCATGCGGACGTGGGGTAAATGGGATCTCTGGAGTTGAATTGGCTCAGCGGCAATAACTGGTTGCTGATCAACTTGTCAAATGTGTGGGAAGCTTATCCAGAGTGAAAAGTGTGTGCGACCAAATGCAATACAACATTACACTTGCAAAGCGCCTTTCACGTCGGGAGGACATCCCAGGTCTGTCACTTTACTGCTGTGAGCTGAGCTCCTAAAGACACTTATCACTTTAAATTATATTTTGATTGCAGTCAATCAAATTCAGTTCCACATGCAGTTACAGAGATATATTGAATTGAAAGGTAGTTTGGTTTTCAGAAATCCAGTATCCAAGAAGCATTCAAACGCAGTTTAAAGGCTGTTCTGGATCACAAACCATTTTAACCAATAGGTTAATTTAGAAATTTATTTCAGAAATATGCCAGATGTCAGTTCGATAAATTGAAGTGTCGATGTATCAAGTAGATAATTTGCTGACAATTTTTAAAAAATAAGTTAAAAAATAATAATTTGGTCACTTCACTCCACGGCTGTTTGTGGGGACGCTGCTGTGCGCAATTGGCTGCCGGGTTTCGTCCACAAAAATACACAGTCACTCCACTTTACAGTATGTCCCGTGAAGCGCTTTGAGATGCCTCAACAATGTGATAAGGCGCTGTATCAAATGCAAGGATTATTGTTATGGTTTAGTACTGCAGTCAATCAAATTCAGTTCCACATGCAGTTAATTATCTGCACTTTGCACTGAACGTAAAATCCTGTCGAGCTGGATCTTAGTATCAATGAATAAATGATAGCTCGTTGCGTATGTTCAACTTTTCCCCACTAGTTTTCTTCTGCCCACCCCACCTCTCCCCGAATCGTTCTGTGGTGCAGTTCTGAAAAGCTCCCACCACCGTCTGCTAACGTATCCAAGCGGTACAAAATACACAGTCACTACACTGTACGGTATATTCTGTGAATCACTTTGAGACATCTCAACGACATGATAAACCTCTATATCATTGCAATGCAAGAATTATAGCAAGAGGTGGCTGGATATCTTATGCCTTTGAGATGTCTCGAAGATGTTATAAGGCTCTACATCAAATGATTATTATTATTAAGGATTATTATTAGCGACAATCTTCTGCGTCTGTGGTTGCATGTGTTCTACGCAGTGACTATATTGTTGACTAAATCGTCGGGTAGAGATGTAATTTGCATCGAGCCCTTGGCACCTCAAGCTTCTGAGTTACGCAAAATAAAATCCACTGAATTAATAGTAATATTAATAATAATCCTTGTATTTGATATAGCTCTGTATTATTATTGTTGTGATTATTTAAATACTATTGCAAAATTATATTATTGCGATTATTTTATTATTGCAATTATTATATCATTATTATTATTTACAGTGCCCAACAAAATTCATTTACCATGAAGGCAATCACTGTGACCTTGGCCCTGCTTGTGATCACAGGTATGTGTATGTCGTTAGCCTTTGATACGAGGGAGGGATCCAACCTCAACAAATATAATGAGTTAAACATTCTCTCCGGTTTAGTTAACGCGTTGAATTTACTGTATTTTTAAAAATTTAAGTCTAGAATTTAGTAGAAAATTCCTGGAAGTGGAGGGAGGGAATTACAGAAACTATTAGCGTAATACAGACGTGGAAATAAGTGGCTGCAGATAAACTTTCTTATCAAGCTTAATTCTTCTAATATAAGTTCTTAAACAGCTTCGTGGAAAAAACAATTTGGTCACTCAATCAATGACTGTTTATGGGACATTGCTTTTCGCAATTAGTTGCTGCATTTTGCCCACAGAATACACAGTTGGTCCACTTTCTATGAAGCGCTTTGAGACGTCTCAATGGCTAAATAAGGCGCAATATCAAATACAAGGATTATTATTATTGTTACAGAATGTGGAGACAACCGTGCCCTACTCTGAACAAGAGTTTGGTGTCTCAGCAAACTGATCGTATTACAATAATCTGGTTTAATATGTAATAATATTAACAACAATCCCACAGCGCTTTATCACGGCTTCGAGACGTCTCAAAGCGCTTAACAGAATATACTGTCAAGTGAATTGACTGTATATTTTGTGGGTGAAACACGGCAGCCACTGCGCACAGCAGCGTCCCACAAACAGGCGTGGATTGAAGTGACCAATTTATTATTTTAATATGTAGTTTTAAAGGTATTAAAATATGATTCAGATTTCTGATAATCAGAAATGTGTCCCCGCTCCCCCCCTCCCAACCAATGAACAGGAGCCCATGGTGCTGTTCTGTGGCAACCACAAACAGGAATGGATGAGTTCACGAGTACTCTCTTGGATTACGTCAACCAAGTCAAAGACACTGCGAGAGGAACCGTTGCCCAGATAGACAACTCTGAGCTTGGAACCCAACTCAAGTAAGTACCTCTCCTCTCTTTACCAGCAATTCCATCTACAATGTACATTCACTAGAGTTACACTGGGGTCACCTACATTGAGAAATGCTTTATGTTATTGGACAAAGATGGAGCAATGTTAGTCAAGATTGTGATTGCTCCTATATTAGTCCTATAGTGTAATGGTTAGAGCCCTCGCCTCACAAGTGAGAGGACATGGGTTTGATTCCCAGGCAGAGCGAAACCTTAGACAAGTTTCCTTACTCCACATGCCTCTGTTTATGCAGCAGTAAGTAGGAACCTGGTTATTAGTCGATTGGCGGATCGCTTTCTGGGGGTCACTCAATCCACGAGAGTGGGACACTGTAATCGGCTGCTGCATTTCGTCCACAATAGTCACTCCACTTTACAGTATATTCTGTGAAGCGCCTTGAAATGTCTCTATCATGTGATAAGATGCTTTATCAAATGCAAGGGTTATTATTATTATTATATTAACTTGTCTCACTGTAATGACAAGCATCATCTACTTTAGGAGGGGAGGGGAACCCTCCTGCAGACCTGGCTCTGGGGAGATGTACTTGGCAAACAGATAGCTCTGCAGTGATCCAAGGCTGACCGGTTTATGAATGAGACTTGGAGGTGTAGTGACTTCACTTCAGCTTGTCAATGCTGACATCTAGTGTTAAATCTACATAACAGCGTTCAAACTTTGGAGCAAAAACACAAGTGGGTACAGAGGTCATCGCTAGACAAATTACATGAAAGTTTCCTAATGTATGGTGAACATAAGATGGCTAACACTGGAGCTCACCGTGGCAATGAATAAGTCGACGAGTTTAAGTCACTGAAGTTAACTCACGGGCATTGCTACACGCGAATGTCTCAAAACCCTCCTCTTCGCCTTCAGTAACTCTCCTACCCCCACCCTCCCTGCCCTCCAATCCTTCTGATCCCAATCCATAGCTCGGTGGCAAATCCTTGATTGTCCAGCGCCTTGGGACGTCCTCCTAATGTGAATGGCGCTCCACAAATATAATTTGTTCTTGTTGTTTCTTTCTTGCAGCCTAAGAATCTCAGAAAGCCTGGACAACCTTCACAAATATGTCAACGACTTGAGCAAGAAAGTCATGCCAATTTCCGACGACATTCGCGAGAAGCTCACCAAAGACACGTCAAAGCTGCGGGCACAGATCCAGAAGGACCTCGAGGACCTTCAGGCCAAGTTGCTTCCCTATGCCAAGGAGTTCCGCCAAAGGTTGAACGAGAGCGTGGAGGACTACCGTCAGAAGCTGGTGCCCATGGCCGAGAACCTTAAAGACCAAGCTGTTCAGAATGCTCAGGATCTCCACGAGAAGATGACCCCCTACGCCAATGAGTTCCGGGAGAGGGTCAAGACTAATGTGGACGTCCTGCAGCAGAAGTTAACTCTGTACACTGACACCGTCCGGGAGACGATTAACCAGCGCCTGGAGGAATTCCGCCAGAACGCCTCCCCCTACGCCAGTGACTTCCACGAGAAGCTCGTTGTGAACATGGAGGAAATGAAGCAGAGAATGAACCCTCTGGCCAAGAGCATCAAAGAACGTCTGACTCAACTCACCGAGAACCTCAGAACCAAACTGTCCTCCATGTGGGAGTCGTTCAGCCAAAGCTTTAACTAAGGACAGTTGAGCAAAACCAAATCAACAGTTTGTAGATCCTCACCAACTTGGCACTGGTTTAACTTCAGATTACGAACTCATCCACAGTCTAGTGTTAAGACGTCTGAAATTCCCACTGAGCCTTGGCTCGTCGAGACCACTTTGTCTTCACATTTTAAGATCGGGGAAAATTCCTAAAATCTGGCTTCGGAACGGAACCCGGTGTCTCTTTGCAATTCTTAAACAGAAACCGGCTTCCAAACGATGACCGAATTTAGGATCAATCTAGAATTTTGGCCCCACCTCAAGTGTTAAGACAAAATGGTGTGAATTTTGGGGTTTTTGTTGGTTAATGCATTATTATTTATTCATTATTCACTGGTCAATATATTGTAGTGTCTCTATAATCATCAAGCGTCTGCCAAAGCAATACCCTACATGTTTTTGTGAGAATATTATGTCCGTCTGTACAAACTGCTTTAGTGTTTAAGAGTCTGATTTGGAGTTTCTTAGTTGTTTTCCAAATAAACAAAGGCTTTGCAATGAAATGTGTTGATCTCTGTAGATTTAATGTGTTAAGTGACTGTTTAATTGTACAGAAGGTTGTCTACATTTACTGCAATCATGGAGTTTTGCATTATATGAGACCATTTGGTGATGGATAACATGGATATCTCTCTCAAATTTGAGTCCCGAAGCATAGAGGTGAGCGTGCTCGCTTCGCAAGGTTCGATTCCCGGACGGGGTGAAACCTTACTCCACACTCCTCTGTTTACCTCGCAGCAAGTAGGAACTCTGTTGTAAGGTGATGGAGGATCACTTTCCAAAGGGTAATAATCCCTCCCCTCCAAAAAATAAAAAATTGGTCACTTACTCCACGACAGTTTGTGGGACACAGCTGCGCACAATTGGTTGCCACGTTGCCAATGTATTGGCAGTAATAGACTTGACTCAAACAAGGGCACGAATCCATCCCCCTCTTTAATAATAACAGTAATCCTTGCATATGATACAGCGCCTTATCACATCTTCTAGACGTCTCAAAGCGCTTCACAAAATATACTGTAAAGTGAACTAACTGTATATTTGTGGGCAAAACGCGGCAGCCAATTACGCAGAGCAGCGTCCCCACAAACAGTCGGGGATTGAAGTGAACAATTTAATTATATTTTTTCTTGAGGGATTTTTACCAGGCGTGTGGAGTAAGGAAACTTGCCAGGAATCGAACCCAGTTCTCTCGCTTGCGAGGTGAGCGCTCTAACCATTGAGCTACCAGCTCCACTACTATTGCCCTTTGCACTGTTATTTTGCCAGTCTATGTTAGGATAATTGAAGTCCCCCATTATCACTATATTAGTTTTGCACCTTTATGTAATCTGTTTCAGATTTGCTCGTCTATCTCCTTCCCACAATTTGATGGTTTATAGTAAATACCTAATAGAGTAACTGCTCCTTTTCTGCTCCTTAACTCTAACCAAATAGATTTTGTTTTTGGACCCTCTAGCACATCATCCCTTTCCAGGGTTGTAACCGTGACTTTAATCAATATTACCGTCCCCCTTTTTCCACCTTGCCTGTCCCCACTGAATACATGGTAGCCAGAAATATTCAGCTCCTATTCCTGCACTTGTTTGAGTCAAGTCTATTATTGCCAATACATCATAACCCCAATTGGCAATTTGAGCCGCAGCTCAACCAACATTATTTACCACATTCACTCCAAGACCGACTGAGTCTGCTCTGCATTTCTCCACTGTCTAATCCCTCCTTTTTCTGGATTACTCCTTATTATCTTGCTATTAATCTTTTCCAGCACTCAATGTAACTTGTTTGTCCTCTCCCCAAATCTACATCCTGATTCCCTTCCCCCCTCAAAATGAGTTTAAATCCTTCCCAACCGCGCGAGTTAACCTCCCTACGAGGACATTGGTCCCAGCCCTGTTCAGGTGTTACCCATCCACCTTGTACAGGACCCAACGATCCAGGAACCTGAAGCCCTCCTTTCTGCACCAGTTCTCCAGACATGCGTTCATTTGTTTGATCTGCTGTTTTGATGCTCACTTGCACGAGGCACTGGGAGTAATCCAGAGATCACCACTTTTGAGATCCTGCTCTTTAGCTTTTTCCCTAGCTTCTGATACTCTCCCTGTAGGATCTCAACCCTTTTTTCCCTATGTCATGGATCCCAACATGGACCACAACTTCTGGATGTTCCCCTTCCCCCTGTAGAATGTTTTGCACCCGTTCCGTGATGTCTTCAACCCTGGCATCAGGGAGGCAACATACCAAGCGCGAGTCATGTCTTTGGTTGCAGAAACTTCTGTCTGTCACTCAATCCAGGACTGTGTGTGAGACACAGCTATACACAATTGGCTGCTGCATTTCACCTACAAAATACACAGTCAATCCACTTTTGGAGGCCAGGTTTTTCAATTGGGTAAACGCTTGCAACACCAGTGAGTTCATGGGTTTGAGTCGGTCCAAGGGGTTTGCTGAGTTCAGTTCCACCGTATCTCAAAGAACAAACACTGCCTGTGGAGCAATGCGGCTTGTGTTGATTTTGCTCGCACAGTTTTCAGAAGTCTCTCTTTAATAATAATAATCCTTGCATTTGATGTGCGCCTTATCACGTGATCGAGACATTCAAAGTTCTTCACAGAATGTACTGTGAGGTGGATTGACTATTGTGGAAGAAACGCGGGAGTCGATCGCACACAGCTGTGTCACACAAACAGTCGTGGATTGAGTGACCAAATTATTAATTTTTTGTTTCTTAAGAGGTTATTACCCTGGAAAGTGACTAACAACCGGGCTCCTACTTACTGCTAGGTGAACTGAGGCGTGTGAAGTGAGGAAACTTGGCCAACGTTTTGGCCTGTCCGGGAATTGAACTCAGGTCCTCTATCCACTGCACCGCAGGACTCTATCCACTATCAACTAAAAGGTCCGTCACCGATATAAGCCACAATTACTGGAAATAAAAAATAAGGTAACAGCTAATCAAAGTCAGATCACAGGAGAGGTTTGTATGTAGAAGGCCCTTTGGTTCATTGATATTATCCTCCCAGAATCTCTCACCCTTACCATCCTCGGATTGTCTAATAAACTGGTGGAACAGGAAGCTTTGGAACTCTCTCCCAATCCACCCCCTTGCCCTCTCCTTCCCCTCTTTTAGAGCACGACCTTCCTCTTCGACCGTACTTATGGTCACTTTCTCTCTCCCCCCGACTCGGAGTCAGACTCCGCCACTTTGCTGTGGTTAAATGTTCTCTGGGTCCTATCAACCTGACGTTTTGCTGTGTAACTTTCATGCCAGCAGCTAATTGCTTGTCCCTGAAATCAACCTGAGAGTATCCTGGTAGGATCTTTCTCTTTAAGCTTTGGCAGCAGTTTGGCAGCGAGGTCTGGAGTAGGGTCTCAAGGATTTTGACCCAGATGAGGTTCAGAATAGAGGCAAAGAACTTAGCTTTGTTACATCAGTAATAGACCATTCACTGGAGGGAACATAATCCTCCCGCTCAGCTCCTGTTAACCCTGCAAGCCAAAGCCCTAACAGGTAGGGTGGTCCTAGCTGGACAAGCAGTGGGAAAGCTTGCCAGACGGTGCTATCAATGGCAAGCTGTGCGGTTTTAGTTGGTTAGACTCCAGCAGTTGCCCCAACACACAATCTGGTTTCCCCAAGCCTTGGTGCCAATGATCAATAATAATAATAATAATCCTTGCATTTGAAATAGCGCGTTATCATGTTGTTTAGACGCCTCAAAGCGCTTCACAGAATATATTGTAAAGTGAATTGACTGTATACTTGTGGGCGAAACGCGACAGCCAATTGTGCACAGCAGCGTCCCACAAACAGTCATGGATTGAGTGTCCCAATTTTTTTAAGAGATTATTACCCCTGGAAAACAACTCGATTTCGCCCCACCTGGGAATCGAACCCGGGTCCTCTCGCTTGCAAGGCGAGCGCTCTAACCACTGCGCTATGGGACTCCACTAACCTGTCTAATATTATCTCTTCCATCTGAGGGAACCTTAGCCCAATTCCCAGATGCTCCGAAATCTCGGGCAAGGTGGAATTCCTCGCCAAACCTCAGAGTGTTATTTTTCTTTTTTAAAAAAAAGTGCTGTAAGAGGTTCTTCACAGAAGTGTCCTCGGGGGCTTGACTCCACGTTTATTGATTAACTTTTTATTTTGTCTTAGAAATCATTGGTTGCACAAATAATCCAAGGCCACCGGTTTCTTTTTTTTTGCAGCGATTACAGAAAAGAAGTATCAACATTTGTTCTAAGTCTGAACTGGGTTCTCAACGATTATTACAAGGTCACCCAGTGAGCACATTTCCATTGCTTTATGCTTTGTTATTTGGGAGAAACATTGTGCCCACAAACCAGACACTCAATTGACTGCACGGTACAACTATAACAAATTGCACTTATATAGTGCCCTCCACGCAGGGTAAGAGCGTTTAACAGTGGTGGAGCCTGACCCTGAGCTGGGAGTGGGGAGGGAGAGGAAGGCTTTCGGTTGTGACTTGAAGAAGGGGAGAAAAGAGGCAAGACGCAGGGATTGGGGGAGCGCGTTCCAGACTTTCGGGGTGTGGGCGGAGGGTGCGAGGGACGAGCAGGAGGCCCTGTGCCAGTCGAGTGGAGGTGATTGGTCATTGGGGGTAATTAGGCTTTGAGATCACCCCCATTATACCCCATTTCATGTTATTGTACGAAAAGTTAGCAACTTTGTTCTTTTTGTCAATGTTTGCTGGACTCTGAAAGGTTAGGAATCTTGACCCTTAAAACCTGTGTTTCCACAGTTAAATAAACAGCCCTGTGGCTTTGTTTCACAGTTCTCTCCCTTATCAGATGGCACAGATAACGGGCGGCTCATAAATCTTAGCGATCTGCAGTCCACACGGCAGGGACGAGAGAACACGGAGAAGCTGAACCCACGGAAGGTAAAAAGAAGTTCGTCTCATCTTATTTCACGTTTTCTGAGAGTAAAATAGCTTGTTCGTTTGTCAAATGACAGTAGCAAGAGAACCCAAGAGAGTGACATTTTATTTAACTGGGAAATATGGAGTATCAAGCAAATTTATACTTAAAGTCTTCGTATAGTGCCTTTATTTTCATTTGCAAGTCAATCCACTTTACAATGTATCCTGCGAAGCTCTTTGAGACGTCTCAAGGACGTAATCAGGCGCTGTATCAAATGCCAGGATTATTCTTATATTTATTTGAATTTTGACTGGCAAGGGGAAGATTATGGGATAATTTGATAATGCTGATTAACAGTTGCATTTGGTACAATATGCAGATATCAGAGAGATTGGGGTTCAAGCCCCACATCGATACTGTGAGCTCACAGTCTAAGGCAGAGATTCCAGCATTGCAGCATCAGTTGAAGGTGCCATTGACATTAAGTGAAGTCCTATCTGTCCTATCAGTTGCTCGAGGAACTGCCATCTCTTTTCCAATAAAGTGTTGGGATCTTTAACATCCGTTAGTAAATTTTCGGTCAAACGCAAATAAATCTGGGGTCAAACAACTTCACGGTTGTTTGTGGGCTGTTGCAGTGTGGATATTGGCTGTTATGGCCACTACAAGATACAGTAATTTCTCTTTGCAGTATATCCTGTGAATATATATTCTATTATTATAATAACCGGGTCATCATCCATTCATGCTCAGCTTCTAAATGTCTTTCCAGAGGTTGACACCCTGAAGCCATGATGAAGACGTCTGCAGTTATTGTGGTTCTGCTTCTGATCACAGGTAATGTAATATATAATTGCATTTGTCCACAAGATACACAGTCACTCCACTTTACAGTATGTCCTGTGAAGCGCTTTGAGACATCTCAACGACATGATAAGGCGCTGTATCAAATGCAAGGATTATTATTAGCCTTATCCTCAGCTGTCAGCCATGTCAGGTCTCGATGAAATAACATACAGGACCCACTGGACCATAGTCATGCATAGAGTGTACCCCAACAAAAGTCAGCAAGTCTCAGCAAAGAGAAGGTTGAGAGGCCAAATGATTGCAGTTTTTAAGCTTCTAAAAGATCCTGGATAATGTAGACCATGATAAGCTGTTTTACCTTGGAGTCATGGAGTCCTGTAGTGTAGTGGTTAGAGCACTCACCTTGTATGCGAGAGGACCTGGGGTTTATTCCCACGCAGGGCGAAATGTTGTGCGCAAGTTTTCTTACTCCACACGTCTCTGTTTAACTAGCAGTAAGTAGGAACCCGGTCCTTAGTGGATTGGGTGGATCGCTTTTTCGGGGGTAATAATCCCTCAAAAAAAAACTGCTTTAAATAACAAGTTGGTCATCAACCCACGACTGTGCGCAGTTGGCTCCCTTAAAAAAAAATCATTAGCATCATTAAAATCATCATTTAAAAAAAAAATCTACATTATCAGAATGAGCATCATCAACCAGCCTTTCCCCCTGGTTTTGTTTTGTTGACAAGGCACCCAAGCCAGATCTGTGGTCAACAAGACAGTTACGTTTCTTCAAGACTTTTGGAAACACTTCCATGAAGGTGCTGAGGAAATCACAGAAATGGTGCACGGTTTCTATGGTTCCGGACTGCAGCAAAGGCTGACGTGAGTATTTACCTGGTTATCGAACCTGTATTATGTATTATGTTCACTGTGTGTAGTGATATCAGGAGTCCTGCAGTCAGGTGTCAGCCTGGCTCCTGTCTCATTTCTTAGGTTAATAGACAGGACTAATAAGAGGGTAATAATTCCTTCAAAAAAAATAATAAATTGGTCACTTCAACCCACGGCTGTCTGTGGGACGCTGCTGTGCACAATTGGCTGCTGTGTTTCGCCCACAAAATATACAGTCAATTCACTTTACCGCTTCACTTTATCCTGTGAAGCGCTTTGAGACGTCTCGAAGACGTGATAAGGTGCTGTATCAAATGCCAGGATTATTATTGTCGTTAAGACCTTTTGCTGACAAGGCAACAGCTCAGTAACATGTGCAAACTAAATTTTCACACGTGCCATGTGAATTGAGTTGAAATGCTTAAAATCCACTAAACTAAACATTTTTTTTAATTTTGTTTGGTCAGCCGGTGTCTGACACATGCGGAAACCCATCACCGTTGCTTAAGAGAATCCAAACCAAGCTGCGATTTCCAGGCATCTCACCCACACATGGAAATCCCAGAGATGGATTGTTAGAATGGAATGCGCTCTCTCTCTCTCTCTCTCTCCCTGCAGGAAGTATTAGGAAGTATTAGGCGCAGGTTAGCAAGAGCCAAGGCTTTGGGGGGAGCCCAGAGTGGGCTTTGGGGTGCATTGCTGAAGTCTAAACAACTAAAATCCTCATAGCTTGAGCCAGGCTGAGTTGTGCTGCCATCAGCTGCGTTCTTCTCACCTCTGGGTGGGGGGTGGGGGAGAATTTGGCAAGTTTCCTTACTCCACACGCCTCTGGTTACCTAGCAGTAAGTGGGAACCCAGTTGTTAGTCGATTGGCGGATCACTTTTCCGGACTGTTTGCGGGATGCTGCTGTGTGTAATTGGCTGCCACATTTTGTCTGCAAAATATACAGTCAATTCACTTTAGACTGTATTCCGTGAAACGCTTTGAAACGCCTCGAAGACGTGATAAGGCGTTGTATCAAATGCAAGGATTATTATTATTATTATTAAGGGAGGGGTGGTGCGTTCTTCTGTCCCACAGGGAAAAGCAAAATGAAACTTGGCAAGACCTCACAGCTTTAATTGAGAAGTATCAAAGCGCCATGATCTTGTGGAGAAAAACAAGTAAAGAGCATCTGGGCGACTTGCCGGGGAAGCTCCATGAGGAGATGATTCATCTGAAGGATGCCTTGCAATCGCTTGCTGTAGATCTTAGGGCGATTCACTACCAGAATGCGCACAGAGGCAACTACAGTTCCTTGTTCAACGGGCTCCTGCACAAGAACGGGGCTGACCCAGAGACGTATCCAGACTATCTTCTAAGCCACGAGCACAACCAGACCTACGCCAAAATCGGAGAGAGGTTGAGGGTCATACTCACTCGACTGAAGCCCACAGGCATCAAACAGGGGAAGGAAATCCAGTGGAGATTTCAGCAGATCTTGCAGAAGGTGGTGGGGAAGACCAATGAAATGCTCGAGGAGCTCAAGAAGTTTCTGTCGCCCCAGGTCGTTGAAATCAAAAGAATAATATCTTCCCACGTGGATGCTATCAGCGATGTTGATCATTCCATGTTGGATTAGTTGCCGGAAACTGACGCTCCCCTCCCCCCATCGGTTCAGCCTGAAACCATTCACAATATTGGCTCTCTGAAAGATTAATTGTGACTTAAGCAAATTGTGGTATTTCATTTAAAAATCGAAAGCGTTCCTGCTTTTTTTCCTTTCGCTTCGCCTCCTCCCTCGCCTCCTCCCTCGCCTCCTCCCTCGCCTCCACCCTCGCCTCCTTCACATCCTTGACTGTCCAGCACTTTGCGACGTCCTCCCAACATCAAAGGCACTATACAAATGTAATTTGTTGTTGTTATTGCTTATTGAATGACAGGCTCCTAACGAGGGAACGTTTAGGAATTGAACCGTTCCCTCTCTCTTTCCGCTGCTGTCCTCTGATCACATAGTATGTTGCGCTGAAGTAAATTGTGCCGCACTTTTGGTGGGATTTGTTGGGATTTCTCATGGAACTTGTAATGCATCTGAAAACTATCAGCAAATCATAGAAGGAGGCCATTCGGCCCGCCGTGCCTGTGTCCGCTCTTTGAAAGAGCTAGTCCCACTCCCCCGCTCTTACCCCAACTAGTCCCACTCCCCTGCTCTTACCCCAACTAGTCCCACTCCCCCGCTCTTACCCCAACTAGTCCCACTCCCCTGCTCTTACCCCAACTAGTCCCACTCCCCCACTCTTACCCCAACTAGTCCGACTCCCCTGCTCTTACCCCAACTAGTCCCACTCCCCCGCTCTTACCCCAACTAGTCCCACTCCCCTGCTCTTACCCCAACTAGTCCCACTCCCCCACTCTTACCCAAACTAGTCCCACTCCCCCGCTCTTACCCCAACTAGTCCCCCACTCTTACCCCAACTAGTCCCACTCCCACTGCTCTTACCCCAACTAGTCCCACTCCCACTGCTCTTACCCAAACTAGTCCCACTCCCCCGCTCTTAATATTGCCCTGTTTGATAACTTCATTTACGTTTTTTTTAGCATTGATTTCAATGACTGAGAGTGTTCATTTTGCAGAAATTGGCGGATGGAGGTTTCAGGACGCTGTTACGCTAAAGCTCATTGTAAACACGCGGAGTATATGCTGACTTAAGCGGAGTTGCTTACGCCTTCTGATCCGATTGTACGTGAGTCCCAATCGAATATTAAAATTTCAGTCCCGTGCAAGTCAAAATGTGAAGAGTTAATCTCGTTCCACAAGAATTTAACTTGGGACTTTTTTAAAAAAAACACACACATTTACTCCCTTGTTAATTTGAGACTTTTATTCCCTTCCTCCTCTGTGAACACCCTCGCCCACTAACACTGAGGCCATTCACGAGATCGGTTCCGATGAAGAAAGTAGTGTAGTGGTTAGAGCGCTCGCCTCGCAAATGAGAGGACCCGGGTTCGGTTCCCGGGCAGAGCGATACCTTGGACAAGTTTCCTTACTCCACACACACGCCTCTGTTTACGTAGCAGTGAGTAGGAACCCAGTTGTTGGTCGATTGGCGGTCATTTTCCAGGGGTAATAATTCCTTAAAAAAACTAATAATTTGGTCACTCAATCCACCATTGTTTGTGGGACACTTCTGTGTGCAATTGGCTGCGTCTTTTGCCCACAAAATACACAGTTAAATATAGACTTTACAGTATATTCTGTGAAGCACTTTCAGATGTTTCAACAACGTGATATCAATTGGATTATTATTATTATTCAATCTCATATTTCCAGAACAGACGCCCTATGTCCTCCCACCACAGTATCGGGTGTTCTTTTGTGAAAAAAACATGAGTCCCAGCGTTTTGACCTCAACGACCTTTCCTGATAAACTGTTCCACTTGTTAACCCACCTACGGATCTGAGATCAGATAACTGAGACTGGGGTATGAGCCAGTGACGAGCGGGTTTGTATAACCTCACACACACACACACACACACACACACACAGGTGTTAACCCTTACACCACTCGGAAGAACTTTTAATTAAAAACATAAAGAGATAGAAAGGGAATTTTGAATAGAAACTTGCTCCTCGCCGCTCCTCAAATCCATGGTCCACTCGCCTCAACAACTACAATAACGATCCTTGCATTTGGTACAGCGCCTGATCACGTCATTGAGACGTCTCAAAGTGCTTCACCCACATATTGTGGAGTCCTGTAGCTCAGTGGTTAGAGCACTGGCCTTGCAAGCGAGACACGTGGGTTCAATTCCCGGCAGAGGGCGAAACCTTGGGCAAGTTTCCTTACTCCACACAGAGCCTAATAATAATTCCTCCAAAACAAAACAATAATAAATTGGTCATTTTCAATCCACGACTGTTTGTGGGCCATTGCTGTGCACAATTGGCTGCCGCGTTCGCCCACAAATATACAGTCAATTCACTTTACAGTCTATTCTGTGAAGCGCTTTGAGACGTCGAGAAGATGTGAAAAGCACTAAATCAAATGCAAGGATTATTATTATTATTATTGTTGTAAAGTGGATTGATTGACTGTATTAATTTGTGGGTGAAACGCAGCAGCCAGTTCCCCACAAGCAATCGTGGATTGAGTGACCATTTTGGGGGGGGAAGGTTTGAGGGATTATTATCCTCTGAAAGTGATCCACCAATCCACCAAAAACCATGTTCCTACTTACGGCGAGGTGAACAGAGGCCTGTGTGTGTGTGTGTGTGTGTGTGTGTGCGCGTGTGTGCGTGCGTGTGTGCGTGCGTGTGTGTGTGCGTGTGTGGGGGGAGTAAGGAAACTTGCCCCGGGAATTGAACCTCCCGCTTGCGAGACGAGTGCTCTAACCACTACGCTATGGGACGCCAAGAATTTAAGTTATTTAAGGAAGGGGGTGGGGTGCCCCACATCCATAAAGAACAAGACGACAAACGCTGGGGGTCTCTTCCCAACTGCCCCACTCCCCACACACCCCCCCACCTCGGTTGCTGTCACAGCCACTACGTTCCATTCTGCTTCAAATTGGCAAATTTCCCTCCACATGAGGGCAGCAGCTGCATTTGCGATAATAATAATAATCCTGGCATTTCATACAGCGCCTTATCACGTCGTTGAGGCGCCACAAAGCGCTTCGCAGGATGTATTATAAAGTCAATTGACTGTATTTTTGTGGGCGAAACGTGGCAGCCATTTGCCCACAGCAGCGACCCAGAAACAGTCGTGGACTGAAGTGACCACATCGAGAGGTTGGAGACAGCCACACGAGGAATGGAACGTACACTCTCCCTGGATGGAGGGATGCTTCCTGTCTCCCTAATGGAGGAGAGCAGGGGTTGGGGAGAGCGTGACTTTCAGCCCATCGAGCCTGTTCCACGTGAGCAGAGAGAAGCACAAAAGTGGGGTGGGGGTAGGGAGAGGGGGTGGGGGCGGTTGGCGGGTGAGGAATTGGGAGCTCAGGTCCTGTTGGAACTCCAAACCATAGATTCCTGAACTTAAGAAGCATAGAATCTTACAGCACAGAAGGAGGCCATTCAGCCCATCGAGCCTGTGCCAGGTCTTTGAAAGTGTTTACCAACTAGTCCCACTCCCCAGCTCTTACCCCAACTAGTCCCACTCCCCAGCTCTTACCCCAACTAGTCCCACTCCCCAGCTCTTACCCCAACTAGTCCCACTCCCCAGCTCTTACCCCAACTAGTCCCACTCCCCCACTCTTACCCCAACTAGTGCCACTCCCCCGCTCTTACCCCAACTAGTGCCACTCCCCCGCTCTTACCCCAACTACTCCCACTCCCCCGCTCTTATCCCAACTAGTGCCACTCCCCCGCTCTTATCCCAACTACTCCCACTCCCCCGCTCTTATCCCAACTAGTGCCACTCCCCCGCTCTTATCCCAACTACTCCCACTCCCCCGCTCTTACCCCAACTAGTCCCACTCCCCCGCTCTTACCACAACTAGTCCCACTCTCCCGCTCTTACCCCAACTAGTTCCACTGCCCCGCTCTTACCCCAACTAGTCCCACTCCCCCGCTGATACCCCAACTAGTCCCACTATCCCGCTCTTACCCCAACTAGTCCCACTCCCTGCTCTTACCCCAATGAATCCCACTCCCCTGCTCTTACCCCAACTAATCCCACTCCCTGCTCTCACCCCAACTAGTGCCACTCCCCCGCTCTTACCCCAACTAATCCCACGTCCCCGCTCTTACCCCAACTAATCCCACGCCCCCGCTCTTACCCCAACTAGGCCCACTCCCCCGCTCTTACCTCAACTAGTCCCACTCCCCCGCTCTTACCCCAACTAGTTCCACTCCCCCGCTCTTACCCCAACTAGTCCCACTTCCCCACTGTTACCCCAACTAATCCCACTCCCCCATTCTTACCCCAACTAGTCCCCACTCCCCCGCTCTTACCCTATAGCGCTGCCCATTTTTCCGTTTTAACACTTTTCCAATTTCCTTTTGAAATCCACTATCAAATCTGCTTCCACTGCGCGTTCAGGCAATGCATTCCAGACCATAACAACTCTCTGGGTAAAAAGATTTCTCCTTTTCTACCCTTTGGTTCTTATGCCAATTATCTTAAATCTGTGTCCTCTGGTTACCGGCCCACCCGCCCGCCAGAGGAAACAGTTTCTCCCTGTTTACTTTATCAAATCCCGTCATAATTTTGAACAGCTCTATTAAATCTCCTCTCAACCCTCTCTGCTGTTGTGTGATTAATCCCAGGCCTATGCAGTCTCTCCACAAAATTGAAATCACTCATCTCTGTAAATGTTAAGACCAGCAATACTACCAACTGAGCCAACCTCAGTGTAACATAGCGCTAGGAGAAAAGGGCAGCACTTAACAAAGGATGGTCCAAACTTTTGGCTATCGAGGGCCTGATGCCGGATTTCAGAAACACATCTGCGGGACTACAAAAGCAATATTTTATTCTGTTTGGCCAGTCCCGTTGCCAGGCAGAGCCTGAAGACCATCTCCTAATTGGCCCATGGCCTCTATTTGCTCGTCAAGACAGTGCTTTGTGGGCCGGATGAAACCATCCCCTGGGCCGGATCCGGCCCACGGGCCGCCAGTTGAACCACCCTGAATTAACAGAATAGAATTAGCAATTGCTGAATTAGCACAAGGTCACGCGATTGGCTGTTGGGTCGAACCTCTTGACCTCTTCTCTGTTGCATCTCACAGAGACACTTTCGCCAACACTCCAACCAATATACTGGAGTCTGTTTCAGAATGCAGATACTTAATGAAGC